TAGTCTATCAATGTCACAATAATACATTTTGATCATATAATAGATGTGTAGTCGTTTGAAAGCATACATGAATATACGTTAATTAGTGCTGTTGGAGTCTAGGCTCATATATGAAATGTAAATCGGCCATTTGAATTGACTGTTGTATCCATCTCATCACACTTTTCAATATACGTTTGCTTTTTTGATTTATCAAAAACTCAGCAGAAATATATTCCAGCCATTCCTTAATTTCTATCTCTTCGATGAACTGATTCCTGAGGAAGTTGACATATAACGAGCGTTTCAACTCTTCAAGTTTGCAGTAAGGCATTTGAAGATTGGAGCCTCAGCTCTTATAATCTTCACAGTTTTTGAAAAATTATCCAAAAAAGAAAAAAGCAGTGTTGATATGTTGGATATCAATTATGATAATATCAGAAGTTACTGGATTCATTACAAAGAATAAGCATACCATAAGTAAAATTCAATTTTCTTAAATCTGAAGGAGAAAAGAAATTAATTTAAAGTTCTTTTCGTCTTATCCCAATCGATTCATCAATAAAATACCTAATGTGCTGTATATATGTTGCCAATTTGTAGGTGAAAATAAATTTACAGTGCTAAAAAACTGGAATCGAAAAATGCAGTAAAAAGTAGGTCGAAGGCGCTTTCTTTTATCTGATTAGTTGTCTGAAAACTCACGTTTGCAAATAAAGATCGAGAAGCAATCCTGTAAATTTGGAAATGCTAACAAAAAAAATAAGAAATAAAGAAGAGGATTAGATGAGAAAGAATAGAAGCAAACTGATAAGGTGATAGTATAAGATGATTACAAATGACCAAGAATAGTGATAACACAAGACAACAAAAACAGTAAGGAGGAGAAGGAACGAACATTCATTTTGAAACAATACGGAAAACTTCATTGTTCATTGGTTATATTCTTCTACCATATAGTTAGCTAGCTAATTTGTGCTTTACGCACGATTTAACATAACTGCTATGCATAACTATCCTAAACCGACCAAAATTTGCTTGTACCTTTCTTTTCCTATTCTTTTAAATTAAAATATAATTTTTAAAATTGCCTTGCTAGCCTAGGATGTTATTGCGTATACTTACTTTATGGCTACTCAGCACAGCAATTCTTTTCTGTCGATGGCACTACGATGAAACAGTAGTGAAATAGCCAATTTTAACAGTTAAATCAATCATTTTGGATAGATCGTCTTTCATTGGTTGGAATTGTCAAATGTAATTTGGAGACAAACTAATCTGTGAAAAAGAGAGGAAAAGCTTTGACAATTATTGAATTTTCTTTATTAAAGACAACAATGATTTGCAGAGAGAGAGAGAGAGAGAGAAAGACAATATCGTAGAAACTGTAGGAGACATTTATTGTTACTTTTAACTTTTTCGAAGCGCCGGTCAATCAATAACGGAGTAGATATTCATACTTCAAAATCTGTATGATATTGAAGACAAAAGTACAATATAATGTATAATATAATGTCAGTGATGCGTTCCTACCCAATTTTTTTGTTCATTAATTAATTTAATAATGTCTGGATGAAAACAGGAACAGACTCACTTTCCCTTTTTCCTTCTCACATGATGGATATCTTCGAAGATTAGATGATCTTCATGTTGGTGAATGTAAGAAGAGAGGTTGATAATCGATGATATTAATATTAATAAATTAATGAGAGGAACTGTTTTCTTTCCATCTTCCCTCCTGAATTCTAAGGATTTAATCCCAAATTCAAGTCATAGAAGCCTTGAATATCATTTTACTATTGCAATCAACACCTACCACTATTTAACGCCCTTAATGTTAGCCTATTCCTCTCTACTTATTTAAGTGTCATCCTACTTGCATAGGTCATAATTAAGACTTGTTATGACAGTATCGCTTTTTCCCTTTTTATCAAACTTCTCACTTCCAATCCATAACATACCAACATGATAAATTCACGAACAAAAAGAGAAAAACTGTTATAATTTATGAGATTTGGAAACTTTATTGAATTGTAAAAAAAGAAAGAGTGAAATCTCTCATTTTACAACCAGTTTTACTGTTTGCATTTTCGTTAGAAATAATACGGTCATTAACCATGGATTAATGTTTGGAAACAATACGTTCCGGATTCAAAAAATAAAATAAATGTAATGAAATTTCCGTAACAACATAATAAGCCAGTTAACATCATGGACCAAACTGTATCCGGAAGGATTCTCATCCCCTAATTTTACGGAAGGGAGGAAAAAGATAAACATATGAACGAAACAGATTTCGTTCAATTTTTACCTTCAAAAGATTTTCTCCCAAAAGCTGTTTGGCTTATTGCCAGGAGTATAACGGTTAGTTAATAAAAATGATATGACGTACAAAGGAAGGGTGGTGATTTAGTAGATAGGGCTGGTGACAGTTTAAGTGCACAAGTGTCCGTCGTGTCCTCTCAAGATACACACACACACACACACACACACATACACACACACAGACGGACAGACGGACAATAGATAGATAAGGGAAGAAAAATTGATTCAAAAGAAGATGGATTGGTGATTCTCGATCGATATTATAATTTATTATAATGTGCAACTCGCTAGTGCTACTCTTACCCTTACATTATAACTGTAGTAGTACAGATTGGTTAAGCCTGAAGTAAGATGAGACAAAACAAAAATATTCTCACTTGCGCAACAGCGATACAACTGCGACAGCGTCGACAAAGACGACGACACTATTTGGACAGATAAATAATCAGTAAATGAATGAATGAATAAATGGATGGAAGGAGGAGGGAAGAAAGAAAGGAAGAGGTATTTGGATTGATGTTTTTCGTTTGCTTGAAAATCAAATTTAAACTAAGAATTAAAAATCGATGAGAGAGGCAATATTTTAGCGAAGTGCCAGTGATTATAAGGCATGGTAAGTTCAACAAAAGGTAACAGTGTTTCTCTCCGAGAGACAGTCCACAGATGAAAGAAAGTTTAATAAATTATCAGTGAGTGTAAGGCATTGTAAGTTTATTAGAAACTGCTCTAATTGTCATGAGGAGTAGAAGAAAAGGAAAGAGAGGGAGGCGGAGAGAGAGAGTTCAGAAACGAATTGAATTAAAGGATTGATTGTAAGCGGTGCAAAACAAGTTGTTTCAATAAATAATCAATTCTGCCACTTCGGTCCTTTCCATCTCCATGGATCAACTAGGGGGATCATTGGGTCCGATGGTTCATGTCTGCCTATTAATCAAAGCAGCAAGCAAATGCTCTGTCAATTTGAAATCTCACACTTGCTATCATCATTATTAGTGATTGCATAAATGTCATAAATTATTTATCAAGTTTGAGCTTGAAGTAAACCCAGAAAATGATAATTAATTTCTGTTATCCGGTATCTGAAGTATCAGCAATTTATGCGAAGCATTAATTAACGAAAGATAATATTACTTTTGAGACTCTGCAAAAAAGTTTTATTTTTTTTCTCCCGAAATATTCAAGAACTTCAGTAATAAAATCTGATAGCAAATATATTCTACGAATAATCGAAGTAATCATCGCTAGCAGCACACATATACATTAACAAATGTAAAAAAGTTGTTTTTGGCAACTATTGCTTTCTTGTTCTAACATAAATTTCATTTAAACTGGGTTAAGAAGTATGGAAATAAGGCTTGGTTGAGAAGTATGGAAATAAAAACGATAGATTAATGGTGAGGAATACTTCTCATATATGCCTTATCATATGCCTTTACATCTTGTTACCTTTTATCTCGATCTGCTATCGGATGATGACAATTCATGACGATTTACTTTATTCACAATTTCACACTTCACATAAATTTTTACTTAAGCAATCTGTGATGGAGTCAACATCTAAGCTAAGTCTTTTTGCTATGATATTAAATAACTTCTGCTCAAAATGTTTCAATGAAAAGTGGCGATGGAAGATGATTATTCCTTTTATTTAGAATTGTTATTGAGGAAAATTTAAATTTAAAGAACCATAAATTCCAATTGACAACATTAGGCATACTTCTTTTTCAACATCATCTTTCAACGACAATTCACTTTAAATTTAAATTTAAATATATGGTGCTGTTTTTGAGTGATAAAGGAGGAGAGAATGCTAATCATTTTCAGCCAAAATATTACTTTTAATCGATTATTTGATTTTTGATCATATATCCTTTCAAGATTATTGAAATTTAGAAGGAGAAATATTGAAGTGATCTCCTAATTCTAACACATAAATAAAACAAAGAACGATGTTTTGTCTTCTCTTCACTCTTTACTTTCCGGATCCTCCTAAAATTAAGAGCGATGTATTAGAAGGGTCAAGCGTGAAGTTCGTTTAACGACAAACAAAGGATCAACAAATTTCACGCTTGATCCTTCTGATACATTACTCTCTTAATTTTAGGGGGATCTGGAAAGTTAAGAGTGATTTTCGCTTGCCTTTTCTTTTTTATAGCAGATGCTTCGATCTTCCATCCATTAGACGGCAAAATATCAACCATTGTATAAAAAGCAATCTAATGACTGCAGCTTCCGACTAGAAGATAAGTAATGCAAGGCCTTATTGCTGAGTCGACACTTGCAATACTTTACTGTATCGAGATTGATACACTATCAAAACACATTTAAGGAATAGATCATAGGCACTCAAATAGTGTTTATTAATTTCGAAATAAGCTATGCAAGTGACTGATTACGATGATAGATAGATCTATGCTCAGTAATAACTTTGTAATTTTCATTGAAAACACCAATTACGCAGAATATGCCCATTTGTGAAGATGACCAAAAGAGAGTGCTGATAAGAAGAAGTAATGGTGAAGATTTAATGAGAGGAATGGGAAGCAGATATAGGGATAGTAAATGAGAACAATAGTGACAGTTGTTCCTATCTCAAACGCCCATTATTAATGATTATGACATAAGCACTCTTTGCTCTTTGTTTAATTGCATCTAATCCTCAAGAATATCGCCACATTTTAGTCATTTTCTTCACAATGCTTGCAGTACTGTTTCTTTTCATTTCTCTCACGGATATTTTGTTGGGAAAAGTGGAAGAATCCATTAACTTCACTACCAAAAATGGTTATAACTTACATGGATGTTATAAACGAACCGGAAGAGTTTATATGCATAAGTAAGTCCGTTCCATTCGTTCTATTAATTTAACGTTGCTATACCCAATGAAGTAATAAGTGCAATGAAACGGTATTGATTTGAAGACAGCGAATATTTCGATCCATTTGTTCCCTATCTTAATTTAATTCACACCGTTGGACACTATACTCAGCAAATCAAATTTAACAAACATCCGAGTTGAGAATTTCTGTTTTAGCTAGTATAATTTCCAATTTATCTAATGCTTATTTTAGGACCTACCCACGACAGTACGAAAGAAACGATTACAGTTTTGAAGATTTACCTGTAAATTGGGATTGGCGTAACGTAGATGGTGTAAATTACGCTAGTGTTGATCGAAATCAACACATACCTCAATGCAAGTTTTCCTTTTTTTCGGAACATGAAAATGAGCGCAGTAAATCCAAGAAAGTATAATTAAGCAATAATAGCTAAATCATTTCTGTTCGTTTCAAGTTCATTGTTATAAGAATTTCAAACATCCTGTGTTCCTAAACCTCATTAAACAGTCATCGTTTCCTTTAGAGATTAGTAATTAGGAATTACTAATCCTTCTTTGATTTTTCATCATTGAATATAAATCGTCTCCTTGACCTATTTTGAACACTTTCCGAAATTCCAAATTCATCAGATCTGCTTCTTGACATAAGATAGCAACACAAACACATGGATGAATTGGTGCACAAATAATTGCTAAAACTGGGCGCTATTTGTTGAGACAAGGTGAGATGCGCTGTTGGTTGGGTATACATAAGCACTTTTCGCCTTTTCTGCTTTATTTTAGATTGAGAAGATGGTTTAGCAAAGAAGCTAATTCCATTCATTTACTTTTGCAAGCCGCACAAAATAATTAGCCGTTTAGTAAAAAAATTAACTTATGTAAGGAAATCGGATTAGCACTTGTTAACAAATTTGTTGTTCAAGAAGTTTTCTGAAAAATAATCGGCCACTACGCTCTTCACCATTAGAGGTGGACGGCGTAGTGGCCGATTACCGCCATTGAAAGCTTTTTGCACGAGCCAGCAAGATGCCGGCAATGCTTACTGTGGAATCCTGAAGCACGGATTTTCGCGCTACAGGAAAAGATTTCTTGTTGGCAAAAACACTGGTTGTCATGGCCCTTATTCAAAATTTGCGCTCCGAAATTCACAATTGCTTTTGTATCATCTGTTGATGAGACTTTGCCCAACATGTTTTGATTCTGATATTATAAATAGTTTTGGTGTTGTAGTTTGTATCTTTATTAATATAGCAATTAAAATATTTGAAAAAATTTCAGATTGTGGATCGTGTTGGGCTTTTGGTACGTTTTCACTTTTCACACTGTTCTCCTTTTTTCGAAAGTTTACTCTTCCTTTTACAGAATATTTCAAGCTTTTAACCACACCACGAATACATGATGAGTATATCAAATTTAGGTACGACAAGTGCGCTAGCCGATCGTTTCAATATCAAGCGGAAAGGAGCATGGCCATCTGCTTACCTCTCCATTCAGGAGGTTCCTCTCACATCGCTCAAAAATCTTTATATTTTTTAGGAACAAAAAGGGAAATTCATAAAAATGTAACTGTTTCAATATTGATCAGAGGAAAAGTAGATGAGCAGAAGCAGGTAACGAGTTAAGTAATAATTCGTAATCGAAATTTCCAGGTTATTGATTGTGCTGGTTCAGGTAGTTGCGAAGGTGGCGAACCTGGTGGTGTTTACAAGTATGCCCATGAATTTGGCATACCACACGAAACGTGTAATAATTATCAAGCAAGAGATGGAAGTATGACGATTCAATAGTTCACATTTATCTTAATTCTTAACTGAGAAATTCAAACTTGATTTTAAATTTAGGCCGAAGAGGAAAAAAAACTGATCACTATATCAGGATTTTCTTGACTCAGGCATTTAGGTTATGAGACTTCTATTTACCCAGTAAAAAGAATAAGTCAATAAATCTTACACTAAATAAGATAGTAAATTTACAGCTTGTTCATCATACAATAAATGCGGTTCATGTTGGCCTGGATCATGCTTTTCGATCAGTAACTATACCATATATAAAGTGAAAAATTATGGGGTTGTTTCGGGTTTGAAGAAGATGAAAGCAGAAATTTATCATCACGGTCCAATCGCGTACGTTTTGAATGTTCAATTTAATTATGATTCAGGTTTTCAAATAAGAAAAGTTGAACATCTAAAGAAACCTTTGGAATCGTTGTAAATAATTTCTAATGTGTCAGATGTGGCATTGCTGCAACAAAGGCATTCGAAACATACGGAGGAGGGCTTTATAATGAAAAAACAGAAGAAGATATTAACCATATCATATCCGTTCACGGTTGGGGAGTTGATCACAAATCTGGCGTGCCGTATTGGATCGGTAGAAACAGTTGGGGAACGCCATGGGTATTTATTAGAGCTCTTTTTAGCCATAATTAGAATATTACTTATACACCTCAGTAACTTTAGAGTATCAAATTCAAATTTAACTGATTTTACACCATCAGATTTAGAAGTGATTTCCAGGATGAATAATTCTCATTTCCTGGAAAACATTCAATTTTGGCACTGAAATGTGAACTAAAGGTTGATCACGTCTTAGAAATATAGAAATGAAGAGTAATATGAAAATTTCCAGCTATTATACTCTCCGATAAAAATAACCAATAAAACTTTAGGGTGAAGATGGATGGTTTCGAATCGTAACATCAGAATACAAAAATTCTAGTTCAAAGTACAATCTGAAAATCGAGGAAGATTGCGTCTGGGCTGATCCTGTTGCATAATACATCATTTCATCTTATTTTCCTATCGTTCACTTTAATAATACTAATGATATTCAAGTATGAAAGTCATAAAATTCAAATAGATAACAATCAAAATAAGGACGTTTTCAACATACCTTTAAAATAACGCATTTGATAAACTTCTCTTTAAAAAGAATCCTATTTTTTATATAATCAGCACTTTTCAAAACTTCTAAAAAGCTCAAAAATATCGCAGTGTATCACAAAAGATGTCGACAAAAAATCTCTTTACAATAATTGAAAAATTTTTTCGAATTTTACAAATTTTAAGATGTATCACTTTATGACATTTCAGTGTGACAAAAAATGCTTGTATGACATGCCGTTCAAATTATGAAAAAATTTGGCTGTTTGAGTAATCTGTTAATACTGAGTTTGCGGCAATTAGACACTTTTATACAAATTTATTAGTTGTCATTAAAATGCAAATTTTAAGCAAAAAAAATGGCATAATCCAAACTTTACTCTTGAATTTCTTTTCTCAAACTTCAAATTCTGATATCAGAAATATAAAAGCAGCTTATGCATAAATCTCGATTAAAACTTTACATTTCTGCGGCCATAGCTGACTGCTATAATTTGACAATCCCTATTTATGTTGGTGGCCAACCAAGCTGACGTCCGCCAAGCACATGAACATGAAGATGATAAATACTCTGGCATCCATGCTTTCCATTGTTGATAACCACCCGATAACCATCTTTTAACCCTAATTTACTTGCTGCTTTAGCTGCTACTACCAGCAGTTTTCCAAGTAAAACCTCGTCCTGCAATTTAACTGCAAAATTTACACTGAATCAATTTCGCATGTTCACCACATACTTCTAAAGATCAATGAAATCAACCTGACTACTTTCGTATCTGCATTTGAAAAAACGAAACAAAAAGAAATCTAGGATAAAACCAGCAGAAAACATCCTATTTCATGATCTTGATCTATTCCTCATGATCTTGCCCATCCGAATCTATCTGCCCAAAAGGTTAGTCCTAGTCTTCTCTGCAAACCATTCAGTATCCTGTATTAGAATAATTATCGTCTACTATCGATTTTCTCATCTCTTCTCTTTAATATGCGTTGACAATCCTTAGTCTCCAAAAATTAGTAAACAGTAAAAGTAACAAGTCAAAAGCTACTAGGAGCGGGATCTATTCTGCAGCACTGAAAGCAGATAATCTCAATTCAGTGTGGCAATGCATAATTATGAAAAAGCACCAGAACCTGATCTTTAACGTCTTGTAGCATCGCGATAGGTTTTTTGGGTATTACCAGAAAATGTACTGGTGCCTGCGGACTAATATCATGAAAAGCCAGAACCTAAAATTTGTTCGATTACAGATTATCTGGAATTAAAAAAAAATAGACCCAAAAAAAGAATAAACAATAAAGATTGCTGTTGTTTCCATAACTTGTACTACAGGGAATTAAGAAGGCATTTCTTACAAAAATAAATGGAAAAGCTCTTTTCAAATAAAATTTTGTTTCTCATACTGCGACTTCCATTTCGTGAGTAGTGTGTTACAAATTCTATTTCTTCCATCAATACAACTACAGTTGTATTTTTAAAAAGTAATGCTTCGGAAGCATTGGGGTGATATCAAGAAACTCAAAGATATAGGAAAATTAATATCCTGAACAAGAATGGATATAATCGCATCAGTGGACTGCAACTTTAGGTCTTTCTATTGCGACTCATCCTTATGTATGTCGGTAGCCCATAAGTCGTCATAATTATCTGATTGGAGGTAAAATGACTTACATCGTCATCCTCTATAACGATGGTCGCAGGTATTTCTTTGCGGATAATTTTTCCGAAAATTGTATCACTCTCCGGACCGGCTTTCTGGGCTTTCTCCACTTCCGATTCCATTTTTCTTAACATACAAGTGTGCCATTGTTCTTTTTGTTGATAAATTTCATAAAATTTAAAATTCCGTAGGAAGCGTGAAGATAATGTTTGCATTGTCGATAAGAATGTCATGATGAAAGTTGACTTCAAGAAAGGAAGAAATTCAAACCATTTTACGTATTACAGACAATTTAATTTTCATTTATTTTTCCTAGCGTGTTTTGCCATGAATTTACACTACGAATGGCTAATGTCAAGACATTAAAAAACAGCAAGTCCCTACCTAGTCAGCTCTACAACAGCGCAGTAAATAAATAGAGTGGGGATAGTTGCTAGAAGAGAAACGAAGTCGTGTAGGGACCTCGGTGTTGTTGTAGCCACGATCCCAAAATTCCTGAGATGCGTTAAGCATATAATATTGCTGATCGCTAGTTCGCTTCTTGTTGGCAGTAACGTATTGCGAGTTCAAAAAAATTCTCTCCGTGGAAGGGGGTCAATTTCATTTTGAATATCAGTCTCTATCATTCCGGAGAAATTTTTCAGATTTTTAATTTTTTTTACAAATTTCCTACTCCTTTTTTTTGCATCCGCTGTTAGTAGTTGCTGACGCGAAAATTTTTTTAAGCTTCGATTTAAAATCAAAGTTAAATCTCTGATTAAAAAGTAAGGTCCTGTTGATTAGAAAGTCACTTGGGAAAGTTGATGAAATTCTTTTAATAGAAATGGCCGAAGTATGTGGAACATCATCGTCATCATCAGCAGATAGATGGAGCGAAATGGACGTAGCATCGAAGATCTGCTCATTAACCTATCGTCCCCCAGCATTAGGTGATAAGGTATTCAAGGATGAGTGCATGTATTGCTTCAAGACACCTCTACATTCAGGTAAATGTTTACTTGAATTTTTAGGATGAATAGAAAAGGTCTGGTTTTTTCTGATTGAAAGCAGCATTTAGGTAATTGTAACACATAAATAATAATTTAGTACTAATAGTGAGGTTGAAGTAATAGCAGGTATTAGATTGAAGTAGTACTAATAGCGGACTATTAAGTTAAAATCGAAATAATTGGTTTGGGAGTAATTAGTGGTAAGTAATTTATAATTGTTAATTAGATTGTAATTTGAAAATTTTTGAATAAAATATGAAATGCTTTAATAAACTTGGAGATAATAGTAGAGTGCTATTTCTGATATTACTTGTTAACAATCTAACGTTTGTTTCTGCAGTATGCACTGATTACTAATTCAAAGTCGATTGTGAAAATTAATTTCTCATGAACGAAAACTTTAATAAATCTTTATTGAATTGGGGTACAACTTCATTTGAGCTTTGGACTCTGAAAAAATTTTGATAAATCCTAATCATAAAAGGAGAAATGTGAAAATATAATCCGCATCTATTATGAAAATACAGTTAGTTTCAGGTGGACTATATATTTGTCTGGAAAGGTTTGTTGGGTTCTGTACTGATCATGTAATGGGTTATTATAAACGGACAGCGCGAAAGGGTTTTCTGTGGTGTAAGCAAGTCAAAAAGATGTTACCGGAAGCCGAAGAACCACAAGATAAAGTTACTAAGGTTTGTGAAAGTTGCCAGGCATTATGCTTTAATATACATATAACTTAAAGGAAATGTTTTATTAGTGTTTGTGGTTAGTAAATCCTATTCCTCCTTTGCTTTTTATATGATCATTCTGATGTAAAAGAGTCGAGATAGCCTGGAAGAAATTATTGAACTGTTGTTGTTTTGAGAAATCAAGATATCTTAGAGAATTATTTTCTGTTTTTCTGAACTATTTTCTGATAAATGGAGCAAGATGGTTTATAAAGAAATTTTTTTGGTTCCACTTTTTCGTAACCAATCAGTAATCGTTTGTTAAAAAATGGTTCAAGTCTTACAAATTTCGTAACGTGTTGCAATATTCATCCCATATCTGTATTATATTATTAAAAAGTTAAATACCTTGATCAAATATATTTTCCTTTACTTTATTTCTGCTGGTTAAATTCTTTGTTTTAAAATGAAATCTTGAATGGTGGGGAGAAAATTAGGTATCGATGACGTATTGCATCATTTAAGTTATAAGTTTTAATAAAATTTTAAGTGCTCTAATAAATGAGCCCTCATCACTGCAGCTTGCAATTGGTGTTGAAGGAGGCTTCAGCTCTGGTCCAAAATATGAGATCACTAGCGAATATGCAGTCGTACTTTGTCCAGATGTCGATGAAAAAGTTCCTCTTAGGAGGTCTGTTTTTCAATGACGTTTTCTGTATATCATCGATTCAGAATTTAAAGATATTCAAAGGTAGAATGGATATTTTTTCAATCACTTTTTCAAGACTTACACCGAAACTGACAAATGTTTGCAATAAAATTATCGAAAACGAAGGAGTGCAAAGGCAGGAGATATTGGAAGCAGGAATAAACGTTTGGGAAGGTGAAGCGCGAACAAATACGAGGCATTTAAATTTGGAACAAGTATGCAGATTTTTTAAAAATTATTTCTATTTTAATAGTGCAAGACTAGTTTACAAGTAAAAAAAAAAACCGAATCCTAGAAATTGTTGATGTTAAACAACAGCCAGAATTGTACTAGTTATTACAATTACGGATATCATTTTGACGAAATTAACAGTTTTTAATAAATTTCATTCATAAAGATCGACAACGGGAAGAGAATACCTCCATGGGGTTGGAAATGTGAAGAAGAAGGATGCGATCTTAAAGAGAACTTATGGTTGAATCTAACCGACGGTGCAATTATGTGCGGCCGTTCGCAGTATATTCAGGAAGGAGTGATGAGCAAAGGTCGAAATCATGCGCGACTGCATTTTGACTTGTATGAATTACCTATAACAATTTATCTTTTGAAAATGGCTTTGATAGCTTCGGTCCGTCGTACTGTTTTCCCTTTTTAAATCACTTTTTAAACGTCATTGTTGTAGGCTACATTTATGCATATTAACCTTTTGTTTAAAAAGCCTAAGTTGAAGGTTAGTTCAGCGTAAAACAAAGAAATAATTTTGTGTAGTTAAAATCTAGATTTATGCAATTAAATGTGTGCGTAGGCTGTTGACGGAGACATTAGATTTGTATAATTGTCATTTAATTTTTTTGGCCATATGCTTTGCAGAATTCGGAGAGAGTAGAATTTTTTTCATATTCTGGCTCATTTTCAGGACTGGTTATCCTTTGGTCGTGAAGTTAGGTACAATTACGAAAGATGATGCAGATGTGTTTAGTTACGATGAAGATGAATCGGTTCGTGATCCGAACTTAAAGGAACATTTGATTCATTTTGGTATTGATATGGATAAAACAGAAAAAACTGAAAAAAGCACACTTGAAATGGAGCTTGACCTTAATCAGAAGTAAGTACTATGTTTTTTATTTCGAGAATTTGATTTTAGTGCACTTTCTGATCTTGATGCAACTGTATGCTGGATGCGACTGATAGTGTTGCGTTCTAGTTTTTTTATTGATATTGCCTGTAGTTTGTATCACCTAATCTTTGTCGGCCGACATACGGCACTGTTATCTTGATTTGCTTTAAAAGCTTCTGAAGATGCGGCCTGTCTGACCTGACATTGCTCAGTTCTTGCCGTTGTCATACGTGACATGTGTTTAAGTCAGACTTCATGGAACTTGATTTGATAAAGTACCAAGAAAGAAGTGCCGAAGTGCCTTTCACAATGCTTTGCTTTTTAAAGATGGGAATGGGAAATGTGTCAGGAGGATGGCGCAAATCTAGAATTGGCCTATGGCCCAGGCCTTACTGGAATCATAAACATTGGATCATCGTGTTATATCAGTGCAGTAAGTGTCATTTTTTGAGCTTCTGTTTTTCAATTCACATGCAAATTTTTTTCATTCTTATCGAGTAGGTTTTCCTCTTGTATGCGATTTGCTTGTAGCCAGTTCTAGTCTTGAATCTCATAAACGCTCATTTTAATCCTCACTGAGAGATTATTGGAAATGTCATAGCCTTTGCAAAATCTTTTTGTTGTTTCTTCCCTTACTGTCAGATTTAGTGATGGAAATTTCCAGACACTACAAATGCTGCTACAAATTCCTGATTTCGTGCAAGCTTATGGAATAGAATGCGAAAAGCATTTCCTAAACGTTGCAATACTCGATTCTCATAATGATTTCAATTGTCAGACAGCAAAAGTATTCTCGAGTTTATTAAGCGGTGAATTTTCTCAAGTAAGTAATTGCATTTACTATGTACATATCCTGATGTTCTTATTTTATCAATGAGGTAATTTCAGAAAGACAGTGAGTGTAACGGTATCAAACCGGTACAGTTCCGGAAAGTAGTATCAAGAGGAAATGCGGAATTTTCAAGTACACGGCAGCAAGATGCTGACGAATACATAAGGTATGATGAATACATAAGTATGACTAAAATTGAATTTTAAATGCACTGCTATTTGGTTCTTCAGAAGGATTTAAATTGTATAAATGCGCTGCAAATCGAAAAATATGCACCGGTCTAAAAAACTAGCCAAAGAGTGAGTGTACTGCTTCTTGTTAGACTTTTAGAAGGAAATCATTTTTTGCAATTGTCAAAATTCCAAAAACCTCTATTGCGATGGAAAATAATAGATTGGACAAGATCCTTAACAAACTGCTTGCACAACACTGGAATCCGATGGAATTACAAAGCAGAGATTTTATTCCCTGGGATAAACGACTTTTGACATTCATACAAATAGTATATAGCATCCTAACGGCAAAATTCTTATTTCATATGTTTACTTCGGTCTTCTTTTTTCAGATTACTTTTTGACCGAATAGATGAGTTTCTGAAGAAGCCGAAACCAGTTGATGCAGTGCGATTTAAATTAGAGCAACGTTTAAAAGATAACGCAACAAGTAGAGTCCGTTATAATTATACGGAAGAAGTAGTACTCTCGTTGAATGTACCAGAAAAAAGCGTCTGTAAAAAACTTGCAGTAAGTTTTTTACTTACATTTGCTATATCTTTTGATTTCAAGAATTGATTTATTTCTGCTACCGAAAAAATTACTGTTATCTTTGGAAAGTTAAAAGATAATGGAATATTTATTCACATTGTAATAATCAGAGATTCAACAGAAATCTGTTGTGTTCATCTTACTGTAATTTCGAGAGGGAAAACAGTACCATATTTCTAAGTTCATTGGTAATTCGTCACACTGCTTTGCATTTCAGATACTGAAGCAGTACTATCGATTATTTTGGAGTGAACTTTTTTCAATTTATATATTGTCTAAAAAAGTTCCAACTAGTATTTTAGAAAACAGGCGAAACGGAGGCACAAATACGACCTACGGTATCATTTGCTGAATGCTTGTCGGCAACATTTGGGAGTCAGGAGATTGATGATTTTCGATCGCCAATAACAGACGAAGTGAGAGGAGCCATCGAGCAATACAGCATCGCTACTTTTCCCGATTATCTGATTATACAGCTTAAAGTTAGCATGATTTTATAAAAGAAATGGAAGTTAAATATTTCTCCAGAATTACTATTTTCTTTTTTTTTTTTCACAGAAATTCACTCTGGCAGAGGACTACAGTGTGAAAAAGTTAGATGTTAATGTGGAAATGCCAGACGAAATTGATTTGGAAGCATTTCGTGGCTATGGGAAACAGCCTGAAGAGATGTTACTACCACATCAATCTGCCAAATCGGAGTTATCGTTGAACCGATCTCTGCCTGGCATTGATCCTGATGTTTTTGACAGGGTTAGTGCTTGATTCGAAACTTAAACTTAACAAAAGTTATTGAACTGTTGAGTTAAGCAACCCTCCATCAGTAAAGGTGCTATCGAAAGTTGAGGTAGCTGTGGATAAGCTTTCTAAAATAAGAATTGGATAAGCCCTTGTTAATTAAAAGGTATAGTGCAATAACTTACCTGGTTTTCTTGAAGTTTAGCTCTGTAGATCAGGTATTACACCCGAAGCTGCACGTCGTGCTATTCACATGACCAAGAATACTGGTTTCGATGCAGCATTAGACTGGTTCATGCATAGTGTTGGTGATAGGGACATCAACGAGGAGCATCCCGATTTGCGGTTAAAGGTCATCGCGTTGCGAGTTTTTTAGTCATATTTCAAACATTCGTATATAAAAAATTAAATATGAAAATTCCCTTTTCGATTAGTAGTGGCGTGTCACCGTATTGTGAGTTGAATATGATTTATCATGACTTGCTCATGTGCTAATTGCTAGCTTCATTGTTTAATATAAATTTCATCGATGTTTCAAATTGCCTTTCCTATGCGCTTAGCCTTTAACCTATCTCTTAGCCTTTTTTGAAGGTTTGGTGTTATTTTTCGTCAAACTTCGTTAGTCATTGCAATCGCTGCCCTTAATAATTTGTAGTATGATACTTAGAGCTGATTTCATGAAAACTTTATATATTTTTTGGATATCGCTTTAAATTATTGAAATGCACAAGCTCTTCTAAACTATTTTATGGCGATTTTTCAAACATCTTCGTCATTACAGGCAAGCGATGTCGATGGAATAGCGATTGAACAACTTACAAATCTCGGATTTTCTGTTTATCAAGCACGCTATGCTCTTCAAAAAGTTAATACTGGCATAAATGATGCAGCCGATTGGCTTTTTTCAAATGTGGACACTATACCACCTCAGGAAAGAGATGAACAGATCAAGGGTAAGCAAAAATTAGCAATGTTATAGTAGTCGCATTTGTTTTTTCAGCACAGACAATATTGACCAGTAGTGCCCTGTTTTTTGGGTGGGTGCAATGATGCAGTCTATTCATGCCTGTCATTGAATGGATAATTAACTGATAACAAACGAAAAATAACTGATTGATTTTCTCTTTATTTGAAGATTATTTTTTTTCGGTAGACGTGCCAAAAGAATATCGCGACGGGAAAGAACATTACCGTCTGGTTGGTTTTATATCACATATGGGGACTTCACCACATTCAGGACATTATGTTGCTCATATTAAAAAAGTAAGTTTTGTCTGTGCGTCTTATGAATTTCTTCATTATATGTATATATACAACGGAATATCCTTTAGAGAATGATAGAAAATAACTTTAGCATTCAAAATACATTCAGGACTCAAAATGGTATTTGTTCAACGACGAAAAAGTAGCTATATCTCAGAATCCACCAACATTATTGGGTTATATCTACCTGTACGAACGATATTGTGCTCCGGAAGTAAAGCCATGTGACGATTAAGTTCATCCGGTGATTGATTTAAGAAATCTGCATGCACTCGTTGCTTCTTTATTGTTGGCTTCATGCATCATTAATTTTAACCATTGCTTCCCATTTTTATGGAATGTTGCACTTGATTAATGTCGCTATGAAGAAATTCAAATAAGAATGAAATATCATTCTTACATTATGTTTCCTGCGAATGATCTACATGATTTTTATTTATGAAACTTTTTCTGAAAGCATAGTTCAATCAGGCACAATGAAAAACCTAACATGGCTGAACACCGCTACTATCCAAACTCGAGTTATGCTTGAATGAAAAATTATTAGATAAAATATCGTAACATTTTATGATATACAAAACTTAAACAGGATTTTAAGTTTTTCTTTAGCTTTTTCTAAATTGACATTCCTCTCTGGATTCGAATTAAGCAAGCTACTATATGCTGGGACTGATGAAAAGAAAGATTAGCTGATGACATTTTGAACTTTCAATGTGATTTTTTTGAGAGGAGGGAAAAACAGAGCCAGACTTTCCGATAGCGGAGTTGTGAGACCGTTCGATTCATTGTAGCAAATCGCTATTATCTGAACGTTAATGGGTATAGGTTGAACTCGAAGCCTCAATGTTCTCAATTAAGACTGCGAAGACACAAAGTACTTTATTCCACAGAGTATCGAAACAAAATAATGGTTAATGCGGTGCTTTGGAGCAGTTCATCGGAAATTTACTCATTTGGAGAGCCTGACAATATGCATTAATGAAGGGCAAACGTCTTCCAGCAATTGCTTTAATGGTCACTGGACCAAAACGTTGCTTTTTCTTGGTTCGCTGATGATGTGTAACAATTCAAGTGTGATTACATCATTCCTCTCCGAATTTTTCTTCTTCAATAAAATTTACATGATCTTTTGTCCGCTTGACATCTGTGTTTACTTTCGAAATGTCAGCCACGGTCACCTTTTCTAGCATTTCGTTATGCTTCTTCAGTTCATCGACAATCGCCCGCTGCTCTTTTAAAATTCTACTCTGCACTTTGCGTTGTTCTCTGATTTCATGTAGCAATGTCTTGGTTTCTTCATCCATAATAATGCCTACATTCTGCTTCCTTTTCCGTTTTCCTCTCATGAATTTCATCGTTTTTTCGTTTCGTTCATCCTCCGGAGATGTATTCTGGAACATCACAAGTTCCAGATAAAAAATATTTTTCGCATAATCTTTCAAAGTTGTTAAAGATGAAGGAACCAAAATTTTTTGTCAGTTTAGTTCAAAAAATTGAAAATACTATTTCATAATCATTATTATAGCAACTTAGTATTGCAATATGTTAAAGAAATTGTCAGTTGTAACGCAGAATAAAGCCAGTCTACTGATCCCTTCCTTGGGTCTCGTCTTGTGATGCTAGCTTCCTCCTCGCAACACTACGGTGGAAGCATTCAGAAAGCATAGATACATGCCTGTAATTTCGTGTTATTGTCACCGGTTTTGACCTTTTCCAAATATTTTAAGGCAATTTCCACTTTTTCATTACCTGAAAAAAGACTAATTTTCATAATTTTTAAGCACTTCTCTCCTCCCTTAACAAATAGAATTCTTCAAAAACAATGCTATTTTATCATATCGAGAACATATTATTTCAGCTAACAAAAGTACGTCCTAGCACCATAAACCACTCGTTCCATAAAAAAGCATCATAAACTTCTTGCTACCACTACGATGGGTACTGAATTTAATAATTTATAATTAAAAAAAATGGAGTATTCCAACATTTTCAAGCACCTGCATTCTTCAGAACCTTAAAAAAATACGTCGCTTTTAAAAAGGACTATTTAAATAAGAGTAAAATCCATCTGAAATTTTTAAACCTATTTGTTTCGGTAAAATGATGTCGACAACATTTGTTTCCTGTTCCGTATGTAAAACTGCCCATGTACTTCCGACGAGCATAAGCGAACCGACTGTTACAGATATCTGAAAAATCATCTCCCCAGGAAGAGAAGGAAAACACATAAAATCCCAAGTACCATTTGAAAAACTTAGCCAAAATTCTCAAAAAATAATCATCTGAAATGTAACTACAACTAAATGAAACAAAAAAATTCCACGTTCAATATTTGAATGTTCACCATACTTTTGCATAAAACATCAAAGGACGACATTGTTCGACGCCACGAGATACTGATAGAAATAACAACGATGGAATAATGATCGACACAAGAGAACCAATCGTCGCACCCGTCATTGCAAGTATAAATTCTACTGAAAATAATGGTCTCAACCACTATCCTTTGGATTTAATATTAAAAAATTCCAACATTTTGCGGCACCAAATCAATTAATACTCAGAAAACTAATACTGTTCAAATTATTATTCCTTTCAAGCAATTCAACTAAATTCATATCAGTTGAATTTCGCGTCAGAATAGCAATGTAAAACATGTCAATGCAATCACGAAACATTTGCTGGACGTCAAAAACAATCGATGTAAAACGTGCACGGTATGACGTAATGAAGTCCAGTTGGTCGGGATAAAGATAGTTCATAACAACATTATTCAGGACAAAAAAAGACAGATATGACGACAGTCATTGTAATTATGGCAATTATAGGGTGTCAACATTGAAAGCCCGAAAGCTTTCTGTAATATTCGTATACTTCATTACGAATGAGTCTGATCACATCATTAAGAGGAAGTATTTCTTGGATGGGAACTGGACGACCTGAACACTACTCACTTAAAAAAGACGAATTTTTTTTAGCGCAACGCTATCAATGTCGAACCGGAAAAAACAATGAATCGATATCTAGAACTTGTTTTTCCTGAAGCAGTGTTAAGTTCAAAAGTATAAACATACCATTTGGTACAATTATTGCGGTTAATAAACAAGAAGATAAGAGAAATATTGTTAGTGAAACGAACATCAATGAAGGTACACGCAGCATAGCGTATTCACAAGTATCCTGTAAAATGAGCAGGGAAAAAATCATTCAAAAAAATTTTCATAACCCTTTTAGATACTCTATTCTACTCCTTGTACTCTTTAAGACATCATTTACAACTCTTCGAGAGCTCCTGAATCTCTCCATTTCTTTCTGGTGCTTCAGCTCCCAAAGCTTTCAAGAATTTGCGAATTCCTTTCTCCATCCCTTTCAGAGATTTTATTGTTCCAGCATTTCAGGATATCTTCTTCTACCTGATTTCATTAAAAAAATTTTATATTTTGTTTAAAATTAATGATTTTTGATATCATCTGTTCAAAATTAGCATTAAAAAATACCGATTTCAAGAGACTATAGAACGCAATTCGACCTGGAAACAACATAAGTGGAATACTGACGGCTACCGACAACATGAAAGCTAGTTTCATTAGCTGGGTCAGTAAGGAACTTTGCAGATATAAGAGAATATCACCATATAATTCGATATCGTGAAAGGCAACATATCCGAACAAACCAACAGCTGTGTACATACCACTACATATATTCACTGCTCTCGAAACTACTGTATCCACCTAAATTTTGCAGCTCAAACCATTCATTGATTTTAAACAGAAGTTCAGTTCGAAATCAGCTTCAAGAAAATGTGAAATTCAAGAATAGAAAACACTTGAAAAAAACCTTCAAGTCGAACTAACACTGACGAAAAATGAGTGAAATGCTGAAATTTAAAAGATAGTGGAAGAGAAATTAGATAAATTTCAATTTTTGAATGACAGTTTCTCATGTTGGGATTGACTAGCATAAATTCCATTCTTTTTTGTGATCTCCAGTTAGATAACTTATATGTTACTTAGTAAGAGAAGTTCTTCAGTATCCTTAAAAATAAAAGTAAAACGCTGGTTGATTGTAATTTTGCTTACTGTAAAAAAATTTTATTGAATTTTCGGATTTTCGACGTCAAACTTTACAGTTGCTGAAATTCAAATAAAATCTCAATTCCAATTCATTAAAAGAATTATGCAAATGTAGTAAGCTTAAAACTCAAGGACATTATAAGCTGCGTGGACAACATGTATATCTATGATATCATACTTACTCTAAGCATATTGTAATATTTTACATTTTTTTTTGTTTGCATTCTCCAACTATTCCGTGGAGTAACCTAACGAAAAATATACCTTAGCAGCCGACGGTTCTTTTATGCAATCAGTAACACAAAACAACTGCGTTTGACAGGACAGTGCCATCGAAATAATGGGCAAGCTGAAAAAAGTTCAAAAACTTCTCAATAAGTCATTACGAACGAAACCAAACATACTTCATTAAAATCTCATAGAAAATTATACTGGAAAAAATTTTTAAGTTGCTCAAATTAAAATAAAATAGATAACCAATACTTTTCCTTCCGAACCAGCAGACATAAGACTCAAAAACATTTTTAGCCCCCTATTATTATAGTAATAGCACTATGCTCACATAGTTCTATAATTCTAGTGAATGAACAAATAAATAACCTATTTAGTAAACCTTCTTGTCGCCACCAACGTATATCAGTACTCCAATTGCAGTCGAAGATTCGTGGAATGCATTCGGCTAACATGCGTAATACAAATATACCATAAAACAATACAGTTATTGAACTAATTTTCGATAAACTGGTTACATTACGAAAAAGTGACAGTGGCAATATAACAAAGAGAAAAATTACTACCTGAAATTCCAATAAAAAATTCGACATATTTTGATCAAAGCTTCTTATTTTCTCTGATTCTAATTTTTTGATTTTTTCTCAAAAAATTTTATTGAAATTTTTGAGTACAATGAGGAATTAAAATATCGATTAAAGTTTCTCACTTTCTCTGATTCTAATTTTGTGATTTCTTGAGGAAAAGTTTTGAAGTACAGTGAGGAATTGAAATATCCGAAATAACCAAACAAAAACAAAAAAAGAAAAAAATAAACAGCTTACCATAACAAGAATTCGCAACCTTTGAGTAGGCGCTTGCAATTCCAAGTAATCAGCTAATACGTGAGGACCAATATCACCAATAACAACCATAAATGATATGACACACGACATTAAAAATAAAATCGTGAGCAACTGCAATTATAGTGCTCTTAAATATCATGTATTAAAAAACATAAGCAAAAAATTTTGAACTCAAACTCCCAATGCAAGTCACAATAAAATTAAGACATAACTACTTGCTATTAATTTAAAATATAAAGGGCAAATAGAAAAATTAAAATAAGTCAAATTACGTCATTTGATCGCAAATGCTTCCATAAAACATAAAACTTAGGCTTATAGTTGTGTATGACAAATGATCGCATGCTTCTGTCAACTGGTTAATTTATCTCAAAAATTTATAATGAAATGATAATTTTGCATTCGTCATTTTAGATGAATCGAAATTAACCTCAACGAGACGTTTTCCATTGCTGCCAAAAGCGTGCGATGCCATAGATTCATAACTTCGACGACTGCAAATTGTAAAATTTGCTTTATGAAATCCTTCATTCCAGTTGAAAGAACTATCCAAAATTCAGAAGTGCGATTTAAAAAAACTTACTTCTAACCTCCGGCTTATATTGTTTTGAAATTCATTTCGAATTTCGAATAGAATTTAGAAGGAAATTCATGAAAAAGAGCTTTAGATGATCAGATATATGGTTTCAATCCCCGAAAAAACCAAAAATTGAGGAATTAAAAAAATGTGAATTATATTCTTGGAGATAAAAGTTATAAAATACGAGAAGTTGGTATGTCTGTGAAGTGAACAAGTTAGCAAAATGTGTACATGAAGTGCGCAAGTACAACAAAGTAACAAAGTATGCAAGCAATTAAAAAATACAAAAGCAGAGACTAAATATATAATTATGAATTCATACCGTGTCAGGAGCGCTCCTTGATACAACAAATGACAAGTGATTTTGGTCAACACCGAACAAATCCCAATTAGAACGGTACCAAGCAAAATTCCACACTGAAAATCGGAAATTCCGAAACGAAAATGAAGGAAACTTCATACCAGACAAAATATCCCATAATTTAAAACTGTACTTGAATAACTAAATAAATTTGAAATTAATAACGTAACTATGAGCACGTCGTACGTATATATCAATAATCTTATACAATGCAATAATATTAGTGCGAAGATGCCTGGTATTACACATAAGTTGGGGCAAAATTTTTTGATGCCTTTTCACTAAGTCTGATACATTATGTTGCAGCACATTAATTATGTAGACATTAGTGACTTCAAGAAACAAACCATATTGTAAGTATCCATTACTTCATGCAATGTTCATGATATGACTAATTGTAATTTACTACAACGGTGTTTACATGCATCATGTATTAAGCATAGCATGAAATGATTAAAAAAATTGTTGATTTTTTCAGACATAATAATGCACTAAATCATTAGCAATAAGCATTATAATAATTACGTGACATTATAAACATCCATAAGTTCATAGCATAATTATATGTTGTGTGCATAAAAGATAATGATTAGTTTTATTTTATCTCATAAACTGAAACTGTCTCCATATTTTCTTTGACGTGTGATCTGAAAACGATCGTAATACTCGAACAAACAAGTTAAAAAAATTTTAAATACCTGTTGTAAACAATACGGCATGGCAAGCATACTAACACCAACGATACAATTCGCAAGATTGAAAACATGTGGCCACTGATTGAATTGCGATAAAAACGTTCGACTGATTCTTCCTTGCTTACCTCGATCTTCTTCTTTCTTCAGCATAGCATGCGTCATTTCACGCTGTCTAGCAATGAATTGAAATGTCGTAATTAGATTTCCATCAATTCTAATCTTTCATTTTAATCTCTTTCTGTAATGAAAAAAAGCATATTTCTTTATTATAACTAAGGATTTACGTGATAAACATGATCTACGAGCTAATATATGAACCGCAACGAAATTGTTGACATCATTTGTTTTCATGAAAATAGCAGCCGAGAAAAATTTACTCATGAAATTTCACATACACCAACTGTGACCTAATCCATGTATTGCGTGTTGTAAATCGGTAAATTCGAAACTTCCTGAACCTGATGTACTCAGTCAAATATTGACTGATTTAACATTCATCACTTCAGCTTAGCATTTATCATAGAAGGAATTATGTAATGCAATTGAAATAATTTAAACAAACAAAACATGATAACAGTAAAACCCGTTTATATAACAACTACAGAAATGTGAACTACACTTCTTTGAAAGAGAAACTCGAACCAAGCCTACCACATAATAACATATTTACAAGGGAAACATTCCTGCTTTGGTGCAAATAGTCATCCTCTTGAAAATGACGTAATGCCACGCTACATGAAAAATGTTATCCGACCTGCTGTAAGTGAAGACTGGTTATTATGGTGCAAAACCATTTAGTATCTGCAGAGATTTGTTTGCAGTTTAGAATTTTAAAAAAACTGAGAAAACGTTTTACTATAGTGATTTTCTTTATTACATCTGAGCAATTTAGAACGTCACATAACACGTAAGGCATATCAACTAGCCGCCATGGCACCTCACATTTGTCAGATTCCTCATTTTTATCTTTCATGTCCACATAATCTTATGTAGGAATAACAGTAAATCTCACGTGTTTACAATTTCGAAGTAACATTAATAATATAATGAGTAATTATCACATTTCATTCTTCATGTTATCATTCAAAAAAGTGAAAAATTTGAGTGGAGTTCAAGCATAATCAAAGGCATCGTTTAATTTTTGAATTAGTGTCAGTTGAAGATGTCTTAACAGTTTAAAGCTCGCGCTCAGATATACAGTTTTTTCCGGATTCTGTTGTGGGGCGAAAAAGAAGATTGAACGCTTTCATCCGGTATGAGTGATATGTTCAACAACCTCGTAAATTCATGTGGTAAATTTTATGAATAATTTATTTCTGGTCATTGTGATTGATTCCGTTTGGGAAGTTTTTTCAAATCATTAACTCGATGACTCAATAGTCATAGTAGATTCGTGAGCTTCGATTCGGTGAGTTCAGGCTAACAAATTATTATTGCCATGTAGGGATTATAGGAAAATCAATTTTATGGTTGAAAAAAGAACAAATATAAAAAATAGCTTTCACTGCTAACATAAGACAATTTTGATTGATATCAGCTGACCTGTTCTTATTGTTTTCAGCTTCTCAGTATTAATTGTTGGAGATGCTCCCCATCCTCCATCCATCCACATGCCAATAAACTTGTGTTGAAGAGCATCTCATCTGTGTACATTATCTGATCTCTTTTCCTGACTTATTCCCACCTTCCGTGTTCCAGTGGTGCATTACTCTTATTGCTATACACCCTTCACTTCTCTCCATAAATTCAGGATGAGTGTTTTCCAAGAGGTATATATTTTCTCTTCATAAATATTCTATCCTTATGGTGAATATTTTTTCCGGACAAGTGACCACGTCTAGCATTTACCACTAAAAATACACTGTATTAACTGATCAGACAAATAAGACTACCACTGGTGTTTTAGTGAGCAGAAAAGTTACAATAAGAGAATATGACGCAACCGATTGCGTTGTAAAAGAATGACTATTTTTAGGTTCGTAAGTTAGTGGATGATGCTACTTGGCGATATAAGGTGCATGATGGATTTGATGTGACGCCCACCGATACTTTCAAACAAATTGTTTTCAAAGTGTAAGTGCTAGGACAAATATAAGAGAGCTAAATTTCGTATTTACAACGCTGCGACCGATTTGACATAGAAATTAATTGTGAACTGCGCTATTGCTTTTTATCCCTCCCTATTTATCTATTATTTAAATAGTGAAATCTGTGTTTTAAGCGGAGAACCGCGATTTTTGTCGTACTTTCCAATACTGCTTCCGCTACCTTCTCTCTATCTCAAACTAGAGTAATGTAAATCATGTTTTTGGCATTGCTTCTCATTCGATTATTGCTAACTTTTCTTTTACCTTGCGGTTCTCCGCTTAAAAATCAAATAATCAAATTTCATTATCTTCAAACAGATCCAGTATGAATTTGGATGAATAAGCTAAGGCTAGTTTCAAATTAACTTTCGGTGTGTTTTTCGGAATGATTCTTGTTTCGCTTTGATTTCAGATAAATACCGAGAGTCAGGTAAATAGGAAGAGTAAGTAAATGCGTACTATAAGGCGTTTCCAACAACTGTCTGATTTGGAAATATTATTTTCTCACTTTTGTTAAACAGTTTGTTTAAAACTTTCGTGACAAGTTCTGGAAAAAGAAATATATGGAGCTAAACTGCATTGTGATTTTTCTTTATATTGTAATCTCTCTTTTCTTCATTGTGTCAACAAAACCTTCTCCATATTGAAGGCAATATATGTCACCATAAAATTGTATTCTTCAGATTCTCCCCCGTCAAAAATATTTGGAGGACAGCCAGTTATTGTACACTCCACCAAATGTATCAACCAAATTTGGGTGAATATCGCCAGTCGAAAAGTTTTTCTTCGTTAGCACCAAGCAATGGAATGCCTTATGAGTATGTTCTTATGAATAGCAGCTGTCTGCAAAATTTCAAGTTCTTTGTTGAAAAAAAATTTTTTCGGGCAAAGTAACTTCAGGCTATTTTAAGAAATACCTATTTGTTCCAATTGCCATTGGTTACCTCTGGTTATTATCTTTTATTGTGTGGTAAGTCCAATTTTTCTATGAAATTCTATTCCAATTTTGATTTGGATGTTTTACCATAATGGAAGGCGTGGGAAGCGTTCCACTACTATGGAACACAAAATTGTTGGAATTCGTTCTTTTACTTATTAAAATGATATGAATATCGTGATTTTTGAAGGGACCGTGACGCGCAGCGATATTTTGGATCCTTTCGAAGTTACGTGCCAAAAAAAGCAGAATGGAAATTTGCATTGGAGAAATACTCGAAACCAAGAACTTACCGAAAACGTCTATTGAAAACAAAAACTGAAATGAACGAGGTACTTTTCTTCGAAGTACGCTTGATCGATAAAATAAGGGCGTGAATATATTATTTTTATATAATGCTGAAATAACTAACATTGAAGAGATGAGTGCAGAATCTAATATATATCAGTCGTCGAAGAGAGTGTGAAACCAATCCATCAGGAATTCCTATAGCATCAGGAATTCTTGAAGAAATAAGGAAAGAAGTCATTTTTGAACGATACAGCGAAGCTCGAAGTTTTCAGTACCTTCTGATGGGTTCCTTATCCACCATACTTATTTGGATACGTCATTCTCTATTATATGGGAGATTTTTATTGCCAGAAACAGCTAGAATCTTACTGATTAGGTCCTTGTCCAGAAATGAGAAGATCAGCTCAAGCGTATTACGCAAATATCGTTTAGTAAAGAATTGAAATATAGGCCCCATCCGAACTCAAACTGAAACCATTTTACCGGAAGCGAAGCGAATTCCCAACATCAACATCCAGAATAGATAATTATAATTTATATTGGCGAGGTCAGTTGATTATTTTAATTGTTGTATTTTGCAAATTTACAGAACTGAAAATTTAAAAGATGTGAAAGCAGAAGGAATTTGATTAAGTTTGATACAGCATTGGAAAAATCTTGTTGAAACGCATTCATTTTTATTTTTCAGGTCGTTTGAATGGTGTCTTTGGGACAGGTGCATTATTTTATCCCTCAAATTTCATAGGGGAGGAAGATCGACGATATGAACGAATTTATTGGAGCCAAGATTGGATGGATTATATAACACCGAGTGCAAGACATGCTACTAGTTTATTACTTTCAGCGTATTGAAATAATACAACAGAGGAAAGAGGATGAAGGGTTGAAATAGTAGAGCTAAAATATGGCTGATTAGATATTAATGTTCCGATGGTTATTAACGCTACTGGTAATTTCTGGTTGAACGATTTCTAAAATATAGTTCCACTCCACCAAATCTTACTCATTTGGCACAATGCATAAGAACAGTGCCAAATAAATACACGTTCATTTTTCCATTAGTTGAAGATATTCTGAAATGACCATTTGAAAGGCAGTTTGGTTTTAATTATTTCCTTTATTTATTTCGAACATTACTCATCCATTTTCCTATACATATATATATCTTAGTACTTTACTTTAACTCCACGGTTAATTCACATCTGAATTTCACATGTAAAAATCGATTATATACGACTCATGTTAGAATCTTGTGAATAAAATATAAAAAGAAACTGACAGTTGACCCTACCAGGCCGGAAAGGACTTCTTTTTGTGCTTGGTATCTTGCATACATGTCTTATATATTTCCGAATGTTTGTGATAATGCTTTGAGATTTTAGATGGAATAAGCAGTGCTCTCCATTCCTTATGAATGGGATTATTGCTTATTACTATGATGCTGTTTGTGTATCACTGCTATTATCAATTAAAATTATCATCATATAGCAGTCTTTAGTAGCTGAAAGAGAGATGCCTTACTGTATCTGACATCAAAGAACAATGGGTGATGTGATATACTATTACTATACTATTATATATTACTATAAATTATACTATTACTATAAACGTTTCGGTATTATTGACTATTAAAAATAGTTTTATTAAAACAGTATAAGGATCTGTAGCACTCAAATGATACTAAGACTTTGGACAATCAGGTGTGTCGCTTCTCTGCATAATTTATCCAAACTTACTTTATTAAAGATTCGGAGAATCTAAAAATTGAAGAGATTTAATAAACAATGGATTTATTAACTCAAAAAGGAATTTTTACAGGATTAGACAAGAAAACATGATTAAAAAATTTAAGCTTCAGAGTTTTTCGCAAGAAACTTCAAAAATTATTTTCAATAATACTCACAACAATTGCAGCAAGTTTATGCAATTACAGTACAATAAATATGTCAAGAAATTAAATAATGAAAGATTAACGGAATATATAATTTCTTCATTCAGGCTTCATCACTTGAATAATATTGTCACGAAGGAAAGAACCTCACAAAAAAGTACGAATTTTTCTTTAAATTTTCAAAATCTAGATTTGAAATTGGTACAGAATTGTCCAACTTGCTAAGATAAAATGGAGCAATCAACAGCGAATCAGTCACAGTCAAATATTTAAATTGATGTGACTACAAGTTAATATTGAAAAATCAGAAATTAAATATATATCAAACCAAACATAAAAGCAATGCGGATCATTGAGTTTCTGGATGATGATAAACTATGAAATGATTGAATTGGATGAAGCATTCAGTTAAGTTATTCAGGTTTGTGATAACATGTCTTGAGAAATGGTAACATTTGTGTCAGCTGAAGCACTTGGTAGAGTTAACGATAAATGTGATTGTTTACAGCGCTGATCGTAGTCCACAGTAGCAAATACCTGCTCACGGATATTGTCAGGTGAAACAACGAATTGAAGCACCGATTGATTAATAAACTGTCATACGCTCATAAATAATAAATATTATTAACTTCTAATACCTCTACTGTTGAAATATGATAAATATTTTGAGTCATAATTGAAATACAGAAGCATTCTCACATCAAGTAGAATATTATTCGTAGAATGATTGGCACTTTCTTTATGAAGTTTTTTCTTCCGCAATGCCTCAGCGCCAATCTTGTCCATCGTATTCTCCTGAAGTTAAGAAATAATTATAACAACAGTTGCGTATGTTATTCAAAGCATTCCTGTATTCTGATATCTCTCTTAGGGCAAAGAATAATAACCAAAGGAGTTTATAGAAACGGTCCAATTTTAGAAAGCTGTCATGTGAAAGAAATGATCAAGCAAATTTTAACTTCAAACGTCTCGATGTATTTTTTGGCATATATTTTGAGTTTAACAGCTGTTTCTGCACAATCCATCTTAATCCATGAGTCAAATTTTCCTGAAAATAAAGGAAAAATGTAATTCATTCGTAATTTGCTGCAATCTGAAAAATACATACTTAAAGTTAGCACTGTCGAAAATATATAAATTCCTTACCTTTCTTATCAGGATTGATTTTTAAGTAGAGAGAACGATTTGGAAGAATTGGGAATACCGACGGAACTGTAAAATGCATTTAGATATTTCGGAAAATAAAATTTCATGGATTTCATTCGTCCATTCAAAAGAGAGTGACAACAAGTTTGGAGGTAGATGCAAGAAACACTTCAATGAATTAAATGCTTAAAAGCATACACTGAAAAGCATGCTTCCAACGATACCGCTTGTTTTTGGTTTGTGACATCTCATAAACATCCACTGTACTAATATGCTCCTCTTTGCCTGATGCAACACAATTCACCGTGTCCTTCTGATGTTCGAACATGAACATGAAGAGACCGAAAGAAAGAGAATGAAACGAATGTTAGCGCTTTTACGGAATGCGACATTCAACATGAATAGGATTATACACACAAAACTTTTGACCTATTGAGTAGTCGGCCCAAGTCATGTAAGGAGTGCTTCATGATATGATAATTTCTTTTTCAAAACACATGGTCATCAACAAGCAATAACTGACTTGTCCACTTGTCCATCAGAATAACACTCATATATTACCCTGATTCATTAGCAACTTTTTAATTGCAAACGTTAAAAATGCAGTTACGTTCAAACGCGACCTGTGCAAAAAATGTTTGCTTGTTAGCCTTCTGTCTCTCACATCCAAATACAGAAAGAAAGAGATCTCCGATAATAGTAAAATCTTCATGAGTTCCAAAACACGAATCTAATTCTAGAAAAACAGCGGAAATATACGTGGCCCTTCGAAACATTCTAACCAATTAATACTTTCTAAAATATTTACTAAAAACTCTAGAATCATCCTCTCAGCAAAAAACAGCCGCCTAAATCTTACTTCTATGTGCGCAGAATCTACGTCACTCCCATCTCTTCCTACACATCACTTCTGTCTCTCTTCACACGTTATCCTCGTCACACTTCCATCTCTCTATCACTTACCATCCAAAGTAAAGCCTGCTATTACACATTATTTCATGAATATTTCTTTATTTCTTTTACTCTCAATCTTTTTAATAAAAACATGTATGAATCTAATCATTCCCTACGCTCTTGTGCACTATTTCCCCGTAGATCAGTTCACTAATTAAGTTATTGAATTCAATTCAGTCAAGAATTAGTCACATACATTAGCATTGTACAAATAAATACTGATATAAATGATCGTCTTCAGTAATTCAACACTTTCCTTGGTGTTCGGGAATTCATAGAATAAAGCGAATAGTTGTATTGTTGTTGCGATGAAGTGTTAAGGTATAATTAATTGATTGATGTATAATTTTTAATGATAAAGAGATTAAGGAACAATTAATCACAAAGAATGATTTTTAGAGCAAAAATATACTAAAATCTTTGCCTAATTACTTCTAATTTGTCATCAATCCTTATCAAAATGAAAGAAATTTTTAATTATTAATCAAATTTAAGGCCAATTTTCTTGCTAGAAATATTTTAATTAATTTAAATTAATTAAATTCTTTCAGAAATTTAAATTATTTTTTCAGAATTATTTCAAATAGACGGCATTTTCATGAATATTTAATTTTTCTTCATTTTTAAACATTGAAATCTCAACTAAATATCTCTAAATTTGAAATTGTTGTCAAGTTTTTTTAAATACTAAAGTTATCAAATTAAAAATGTTACGATTTTGCTATGTCTATTCCGATAATGTTTGAGAGATTCCCATGCGGAAGTTGTGGAAAGTGGAAAATATACTTATACCGGATTTCTTCCCTCAAATTTTTCTTTACAGGATCATTTACCTTCTGTAACATGACTTTTTTGAGTGTCAGATTTGTATTAAAAGCGATCCATTTACTGCCAATATTTTTGTGAGATTCCAATTTCAATTTTTATATGCAATTCCCAGATGAAATTATCAGATTAATTGCTTATCAATCCATTCAATTATAAATTCCTATGGAAGATTATCAATAACGCAAGCAGATACCGCATGCTGTAATACAAGTGCAATCATTTCGCTTATCAATTAATGATAAGCTTCGAAATACTAGCTTTGGTTGAATCATTATCTCTTAAATCCTAAGTTACATCAAAATCGAGTTCCTGATGAATCAGTAATGAATTATTACTCATGTAAATGTATGACTAAACAGTGCAGAGATGAATCGGATATTCTATTAGAAAAATTATGCACTATAAGTAGACCACTGGTCATCATCCTATTATGTAAAAGCACCGAAAATACTTCCGGTATTTTTGTTTCTCACATCTTTTGAGTTCGATGGGTTACCATACACGGACTCAAATTATATACTAATCCTCGACAAATCTTTAAGCGAAAAACATGCATTGCATAGGGGTTACGTGACATCACGTGTGATAAAGTGGAAATAAGTCGTAAGCATTACCGATAAATTTAATTATTGTCTGCTTCATATGAAATGAAGTGAAAGTAGAGAATGGATAGGGGAAGAGAAAACTTACAGAGTGAAGCTGAAGTGGGGAATGGAGAGATGGAAGAAAGAGTACCAGCTTCCCTTCCTCAGCTGATGAAATTCGGTTATGTTTGTGGATGGAACATCAATGGGGGGGTACACGCTTAGTGACACATACACATATACACCACCCATGTACATGAACACACACACACACACACACACACACACACATACACACACATAGCAACGCACATAAACATACACATTCTACGCGCACACAAACATACTCACACCATGTGCACACATCACACACTTCAGTAGTTTCTGGTGACACGTTCGAGCATGTTTATGTGCAATTGACATTTTGTTAAGTCTTTTTTTTCTCGTTTTCTTCCGTTATTTCTGGTCTATGTCTTTTAATATTTTTGGACCAATGCTTTTCAGGTTGGTTTCCTGATCCGGTGATAAAGTTCGTCTTCCTTTGTCTATTGTTCATTATTCCATGTGATCTTTTTCTGACTGTCTGATATGAAAGGAATAGTATGAAGTATGTCTTACCTTAAAAAATAACAAATTTGGCAGCAGTTTTTACAAGTGTAATTTAGGATATGCACATTTGTACAATTGTAAGTGTAATTAAATGATCGATTTAATTTTTAAATGGAAAATTAAATCCATAATTAAGAAAGAGCCTACTATATATTATTTATTATTGCTAAGCATATTTCGATGATATATGTAAACTGTAAGCGTAAACCGCAAAATCATGAGGTAACTTTATGAAAACAAATGGGAATTAATTAGCGAAAGAATGACTTCGATGAATCATCAGCTCAGACTCCTTTTAGTCTCGCTCCATTTTTTGAAGACACTGTTTGCATTGTTTGTGTTGTATTTTGTTCTTGCTGCTTTCAATTTTCACAATGAACGTAAGTCCCTGATTCAGAAGCTTAATAAATTATGGAATCCATTGTAATATGAACTGGGACCTTTTAATAAATAGGCCTAGGAAATCTTTAAAAAATGGATCTTGCAGACGAGGCTAAGGACTAGGACCAAGGAAAGAGCAAATGAGCTGTTTTTCTCAACTCGGTCGAAACAGGGAAACATAATCTTTCAATAGGTGCTTTATTTACTTAATTCGGTGAATGGAAATGCGTTGCCGGCGGTATTCAACGTTCTCTACGCATCCACATCGTAAGCAGCGAACATGGCTTACTGGAACGATATCAGTATGTCAATTCGATAAAACAATCATTAATGCGTCGCTCAACAGACGCTAGGAGTCATCATGGTGCTTCTAAAGTAAGTTGAAGGGGACGGGAACAGTTGAAACACTTTCCAAGACATTAGTTGAGAGGACAATGAGATTTTTATTAACGAACAAAATATTATATTAAAAGTAAACTGAAATGATGTTCTTGTGTCTTTTACACTATTTTAGTTTTTTGAAAACTGTTTCCTTCATATCACTATTTCTTCTCCTTCTTTTCTTCCTTACCGTGAAGTATTTATCTTTCGTTTCGTGGTGTCTAGTTATTTGTTCTTCTCGTTTTGCCTTTATCTCATTTCATTCATCTTTTTTTTTTACTAAGAAGTCAATCTGCTATGTCGATAGAGAAATTACTACTTCTGACGAATTTGATTTACGGATGGATCGATGGCGTATCAATTTGTTACTATCATATTATTAGTGCGTGATGTCTATTCTGTAAAGGCTTTACTAATGAATCCATTCCTGAACGGACAATTTCTTTGTGTTTATTTCGGATATTGTGCTGTTCTGGGAGCGTCGTTGACGATTGCATTGAAGTTCATTCATATTGATCATCTGATTAAAGTGAATGTGAATAGATTACTCATCTCGACTAGAACTGGAAATGAGGATTTACCTGAAGATTGTTTGAGCTCTCTTATCATTTTTTATCGAAATTCAATTCCTAACTTATCTCCGTTTGCCATTAATGTGAGCATAGTTAATTTAATTCACATGTTCGCCTAATTATTATATTATGTATTTCCTAACTTTTCCTTCATATTTACGTCGAAAGTTGCAACGTTTCGATTTTAATCCCAAATCTTTTATTTTTACTGGACATTAATTTTAACCATTACCATCAGCATTATTTTCTTGACAGATCTGCTAAAAATCAAGGATATACTTCTGAAATATTTGTAGTGTAGGTTTTATGATCATTCAACCTGAATTATTACCTACTGCCTCATTTTAACTTTGCAAAATGTCTGCATTCAGATATGTCGTAAGGTCAAGATAAAATGAGGTAAATAGAATATATATATACTTTACTTATATGTATATATATATATATATATATACAGTTAGAGTATTTATCATTATTTCAGAATCGAAGTGGTCTTTATAGAACATGCAAAATATATACTTCACCCATATATATATGTATATATATATACTTTACCTGTATATATTTTGCAAGATGTTTTATAAAGACCGCTTTGATAATAAATTGGCCTAATCTGTGAAATATTTGATCGAAATTCGAAATGGGTCCCCTAAGCGCCAATGTTTTCATCATTATATTGATGAAAAGTGTTTTTTCCATCTCTTTCATATCCGGAAAACATTGTTTATTGTGGGCAGACAACTGGCAATCAGTGCGAGTCTAGAAAAGAGCAAATATAACCCGTTTTGGGGTTATATTTGCAAATATAATGATGATATATTTGCAAATATAACCCCAAAAACGGGTTATATTTGCTCCCTTGCTTTAGTAATGTAGTAAAAAGTTTTATTTATCCATTGTCCATCATATAGTACACTGAAGTGATTTTACTTATCCTAAAAATGGTTGATTACATTTTCTATTTGATCTAGTAGCTGATCCGTTTATCATGGATTCTAATTCGGATCCGGTAACTAAATATTTTAAATTTTTTAACCTGGAACTACAAGGAGCACGAGTCGCATCTTCCCTTCACAAAAGTTTGATCATGCTTCCACCGATACATCTCAACCTGGTTCACACCTGTCAATTTGATCATTACATTCACATGTTGATTCGCCACTATGTTGTGATCAGCCAATCAACTATTTGATCAGTTACTCAATTTAATCAGTTGTTTGATTGTTGTGATTTATGGTCATTGAATATTGTCTTGCTTTTAAGTGAAATAGGTATTTAATCATAGGATATCACTTTATCACTGAATATTTACCTATTTGAAGGAAGAATTAATCGCTCATTTGATCTTTGATCTAATGAGAATTACCTATTAAAATTTGTTAGTTATGCTTCGAATCTTTTGTTGCTGCTTTGCTACAGTATTATTTACAAAGGAATCTTTATATAGTTTTTGCATTCTATGGTGATATTATTGAAATCTGTATTTTTTTCTTCTAGAGGTTAAAGAATCATAGTCATCAGTTACTCTTGCTCTCTCTCTCTCAAAATGATATACGATTGAGATAGAAAGAAAAAAAGATACAGAAGGTGGAAAATAAGGTAAATAGCGATATTATCTCGATATTTGAACTTTCTTCTTCTGTTTATGAGAACTCTACAGACTAAAAAATCAGCATCTAACTATTGTAAATTGATGGAATATACTGCGTTGCGTTCAGTTATAGAAATGAAGATATTATTAAAGGATATCATTTGCATTTAATATATTATATATTGAGGAAGGAGAAGAAGACGAGAGGAGCAATGGTTGAAGATGAAGAAAAACTGAGGCGAATTCACCTGGGTAACGATGAATTTAGCGGGTTGATCGGTGGCCTTGCGGGGAATTTTGTCGAGAGTCAAGTTGGTGGTGGTGTTGGACAAATTCTTGGTGGACTACTGCGAGGAGGTGGAAGGAGTCTAGATCATGGTATTAGTTTTTGGTTTTTCCACTTAAAATTATTCTTCATTTCGAGTTGTTATTGTGATCTGTTGGCATAATTTCAAAGGTTCTTGTTCAACTAAAAAAATGTTTATTTGCTTGGACAAATGCTCAGATAATAAAAACAATATTATTCGATGATAACGGATTGCCACAGATGTTATCATTGGCATAAACTGTTTTCGTTATAAGGAAAGATAATCATGTAATAATGGCTATAAAGTTGTAATTCCTTACTCTTTCAATAATTTATACTTTAGTAATATTTGAAGTATATGTTGCCGTCCATCGTCGTTGGCAAATTGAGACTTTCTATTTATGTACTTTTTTGCTCTAATAAGAATTTCAAAATTTGAATTTCACAAGCATTTTTGTCTGGTTACTTTTCAGGTGGAATCGATATCGGGAATTTAATTGGTCAGTTTGTTGGAAGTAGCAGTCGAGGAACAGGTGGTGGAGGTTTGTGATAAATTATTTAAATGAACAGTGCTTATCATATATATTGACGAATTTTGTTATGCTTAATGATGGCAAGGAATGAATAAGAGAAATTAATTAACTGATGAAATGAGATTTGCATAATGGTGACATAATGTAAAAAACAGCGCAAATGTGGGGTTAAATGAAACTATGGCGGTTCGTAGGCATAATTTTTAGATGAAGTAAAGGATCAGAGTAGTAGTTCTTTGCATCAGGAATATCAAAAACCATTCTTTCCTGATATGGAAAATGGTATTGGCATTCATTACCTATCTTACATGTATAACATTTTTGGAAGTAATTCTGGAAGATTTTTTTTCTTGAGATATTTTGCACTAAAATATTTACGTATATCACTGACATTGTGCGTAATATATATATTTCACATCAAATTTTGTAAAATTAAATTTTAATCTACTTCTTTCTTTTTTTTAGGAGACAATGTACCGATCGATTTTTTTCGTGGTGGTGTTATCGAAGTGCTGTCAGATATGATCGGTAAAGCGGCACATCACTTTCTCGGTGTTGATCCGCATACAGGTCGTATTATCGGTGCAGTTGCCGGTAATGTGCTGTTTGATTTAGGTGGGAAAGATAACAAATTATCGGATATTGGCAAAGTTGTTCTAGATAACATTATTTCGGGAAAATTTCATCGGAAGGTTAATTTTCTTCTGACTTTTGGATATTTCTTTTTTTTATCTTTTCCAAATGAAAAAAGTTAAGTTTCCGTAGTTTTTCATTTTGTGTGAGTGTTACAGATTCTTCTAAACTGTAATTTGGACTTGATAGGAATTTCATTCTTGCTAACTTTATTAAGTTTTTTATTTCCCTATTCATTTATACTTCATTGGATAGCTTGGCTAGCTGCTTCAGGTTGATCCTTATATTCCACGGGAACCACGTCTGATTCCACATCCACCATCACCAAGACAAAAAGCCCAAGCACTTGACTTTTATGAAACACGTGATCGATGTTTGCAGGTCAGTGAATGTTAGTGAATTTTTTTCAAGAAGTAAGAAATTGCAAAAGAAAGGAAAAAATACAAAATGACAATTCTTCATAGCTACCCTAATACTTAATGCTATCAGATTATTATTCGTGTGTTGCAGTCCAACACTCTTTTCGAAGATCCAGAATTTCTAGCGGATGATTCCAGTTTGTTCTACAGTAGACGACCTCCGAAGTTCGTCAAATGGCTTCGCCCAGGAGTAAGTGAATATTCTTCCAGCTTTTGCTTTTTGTAATGAATGAGAGGTTATTGAAGGAAATCGTCCGTGAACCACTGTTAATTTCGGAAGGACAAACTCGCTTCGATGTGATTCAAGGTGAATTGGGAGACTGCTGGTTGATGGCTGGTGCTGCAAGTTTGACTCTGCGTGATGAGCTATTCTATCGTGTGATCCCACCGGACCAGAGTTTCACCGAAAATTATGCTGGTCAGTTATAAATACATGGAGCTCTGTAGTAGTAAAGTCGTTAAGGTGGCTGCTTCATTTTTTTTTTTGACTTATTCAAGATTACATTCTTCATTTATAGTGACATAGTGGCAGCTTATCTGCTGAGTGCTTTTTTATCCATTAACTGGCACCGCAAGAAAGTAGAAAAGCAGATTTTGTTACGAGCTGAAATATACTATTTAATATATAATGAGAGAGTCAACTTAGTGTAGGGGAATTCCATTATAATTTTTTGATTGTTGAATGTGAAGTGATATTAACATGTGTGGCCAACTTTATACGCAAATAATAAAAAGCTGACAGATTTGCAGAATCAAAAGTGGCGATAAATTGTCATAGATGATGTTTTCATCTCACATTAGTAACACAGAATATCATAGGGAATCGATTGAGAACAATATTTAATTTTCATCTTTCAACAATCATAGTAGAAAAAATTAAGTAGAAAAAATTAGGAAAAGAACAGTGGAAAAAAATTCTTAAGTTACATCTTTTTCTTAAAATCCTTAAAATCCTCTTAAATTTCCTATCAGTTTTCAAAAGTTCTTTTTTATAGGAATATTTCATTTCCAATTCTGGCATTATGGTGATTGGGTGGATGTGGTTATTGATGATAGATTACCAACATCAAATGGGGAACTTTTGTACATGCATTCCCGTGAAAATAACGAATTCTGGAGTGCTTTGATGGAAAAAGCATATGCCAAGTTAGTTTCGAAATTTTTACGAAGGAAAGGGAATAAAGAGAAAGGGAGAGAGTGATGGGGAAAAAATTTTTTTCAAATTATTCGAATTCATCAGTAATTTTGTAAGAAAGATTTGAACTGATATATTTATTTCAAAGTTGTAATTAAATTCGACTAAAAAAACTGATACTTACAGATTGTACGGCAACTATGAAGTATTAAGAGGTGGTACAACATCGGAAGCGTTGGAAGACATGACTGGTGGTTTAACAGAGTTTGTCGATTTAAGAGAGCCACCGCCAAATTTATTGCAAATGATGTTTCGAGGCTTTGAAATGGGTTCTCTGTTTGGATGTAGTATTGAGGTTTGAAATGATTTCGTTCAGTATGCTAGTTTTTCCTGGTTTGACTCTTTTAAGATTTGTTTATCCGAAATTGTTTGCTTATAGATTTTATTCATATCGTGCGTCTTTACCAGTTTTTTAGGCTTCAGCATGGGAATTCGAGGCACGTACACCGCAAGGGTTAGTCAAAGGTCATGCCTATAGCATTACAGGAATGAGACTGGTAAGTTTATCGCATATTAGTAAATTTCATATTAAAAATAGTGCAGTACAATCCAATTGATAAATATGATATTACTTGGTTTTCATAATGCATAGCGAGGTGTATATTTGGTGGTGATAAATCTCCGAACATTTGGAAGTTTGTCTTTTTTTTTTAGTTCAGAAATTTTCATGTTTTAGGTTGAAACAGGACAAGACAAAATTCCGCTACTAAGACTCCGTAATCCATGGGGTAATGAACAGGAATGGAATGGTGACTGGTCAGATAACAGTGAATTATGGAATTATGTTTCCGATCAGCAGAAGAAAGATATGAATCTTGTCTTGGCGCATGATGGCGAATTTTGGTGTGTTTAATTTTTTTAGTTTTTGGAAAGTTACGACGTTCTTCATTCTACGGAATTTGGTAATAATATAATACGGTAACATTTTGTTCTATATGAATCATCATCTACTATTTGATTACTCAGTTTAGTAATAATGGATTCAAAACATCACACCGAGGCTTTATTCCAGTGTGATCATTGGCGAAAACTTGTTTTTATAGGATGTCATTTGATGACTTCATGCGATACTTCAATAGAATGGAAATTTGCAATTTGGGACCTGATGTTATGGATGAAGTACGAGAGATGACTGGTATGTCGATGAAAGATGTTGGTTACGGACGCTGGAATACTCGTTGCCACCTTGGCGCATGGATAGGTGATATGGCTGGTGGTTGCCGAAATTATTTAAGTATGAATATTAGTTTATCTAATCATTGTATATAACTTAAAGCATAGATCGTAGAAATTTTCCGATGAGAAGGAAGCAACAACTTTCAAATAATTTTTTTCATTTCCGAAGTATCATAAAGTTATTATGTGCAAACGGAAACTACATGCAGTAAATTGTGATAGTAGTCGTTAACAAAAACAGAAAAGAGAATTGAAGAAAAGGATGCGGAAAAAGATGTTTAGTGGTATAGATCTTTTTTACTCATTTAGACATTGCGTTTTATGACATCTACGTAGGTCTGTCAAATTGTCACAATCGCAGAAAAATATCGATCTTATTGAAAAGAGAGGGATGTTGCTTACAATCGTCCAGCTGATTCCTGAGAAAATAATGTAAACAATTTCTAAAAGAGATGTATTAAGTATTTCGCAAAAGGATGTAAGTGACATAGGATAACGGTGTCCAATTTCTCTTTGCAAGAACTTTAGTAGCAGTATTATTACATTAAGGATGGAATAGTCTGATAAGAAACGATCGTTCAATAGACAGAAAATGGTTTGAGACCGATTGTAAAATTTAATTCCATTAGTGATTTAGATCGCACTGCTAGGGACAGTCAAGAATTCTGAATGGTTCATTCATAGAGATCTGCTAATTTCAATATTTAGATACAATTTCAGTATTACAAATTTCTCTTCAGATACCTTTGCCAATAACTCCCAATTCGCCATGACTTTATCTAACCCAAATCCTGAAGATGAAGATGGCCTTTGTACAGTAATCATTGCTGTGTTGCAAAAGAATCGTCGTGAAATGAAAGTCTATGGATTGGACAATCTTGCTATTGGTTTTGCTGTTTATAAGGTAATTTCAAATTGACATGATATGTCACATTTGTTTGTATTTTCTGAAGTTTTCAGATTTTCTAGATTGCTAAACGATAAACATTTCAAACAATTAGATTTTAAAACTTCAAGGTCAATGAAATTTATGGTCGTTTGGATCGCAACTTTTTTGCATCACATAAATCATGCGCGAGAAATGCTGCATTTATCAATCTTCGTGAGGTATTATTTTGTTTGCCAACTGAAATTTCTAGGTAATCAATTATCCGAATTAAACCATATGTAGTTTAGGAGGCTGTGTTAACGTTCAGTATGAAAAAACTAATTACAGTAAAATCGAATTGTATACGTCTTCTTTCTAATTTCACATTTCGATGTGAATCAACCTTTGTCGTTTCCACTATTTCAATTTATCGAATTTCATGGAATAAACTGTAATTTGATGAAAGAGATTTAATAAATTTTAGCATTTTAATGAAAACGTAATTCAAAACCAATAGCAACAATTACAGTCAAGGATTGCAGATAACAGATAATTGCAGGTAACTGGCCGTTTCCGCCTTCAACCCGGCAATTACATCATAATTCCATCAACTTATGAACCTGGTGAAGAAGGTGAATACATGCTTCGTATGTACACCAATGTGACCATCTCTTCCGAGTTAGTTTCGTTATCGAACTTCCAATTTACCTTGACCTACTTGAATACCCTTTTGTATCATAGCTACCTGCTGTGGTGGGAAAGAGAATTTTACGGAATTCTAGCTTTATATTAATTATCGAAAGTATCCTCAATCTGCTGCGATATTTCAGGGAGCTTGGTTAAATGTTTCGAGCAACGGATCAGACGATAGACTACGATAGCCACACAATAAATAAGAAAATAATTTCATAAAGTTTTCCTTTGTCATTTTCTTTGTCAAATGTTGTATGTTGTCTTAGTGGAAGAAAAGAAAGAAAAAGGGAGTTTTATTGCAAATATATTTTACGAAATGTTTGTATAAAGCTTTGAAGTTTTTATGAAATTTCAGTGGTAAAAGTTTAAAGAAATTTTTCAATGAAATTTCACTATTTTAAATAACATAGTTGGATACGATACACTGATGGTGTTGAATAATGAAACTGATAAGAATCATATTCTTATCAATGAAAATTATTTTTTTGACTCTGTGTATCCATTATTTTCTTGCCCGTGAAATAAATCTTGCTTAATTTTCTTTAAATGTGCTACTATTGAAAATGCTAGGGCCTATCATTATCATATTTCAAACTAGAATTTTATTTCGTGAACTGGGCCTTAGCCCTGAACTAAGGAATCAGCATGAGTGTTTTGTTTTTGACGAATTAAAGGCAGAATAACAGGAAGAGCCAAAAGGCGATTGAATAATCATTATTGCCAACACTATACACTATCTCGACTCTACCAAACGTTGTAGGTGTGAATTGAGATCTTGTTTTTCAGGTAAAATTGTATGACTACTGCTACTAATATTATTGGATGTATTAGGAAATTATGCTTGCTGCAGTTACATTAAAGTTCTTTAGATTGCATAGTAACACGTAGCATTGTGTTATTGTGCGAATGGACTAAACTTAGCATTTATATGGAGCAGAAATATCAGGGTAGCTTAGTCTAAAATAGTGGTGAGAACTGATAATGTTTAACAATTATTTTGGAAAAATAGAATATCATCATGGTATCTGCGATAATCGATCGCTTGGGACATACGGATCGGATTTTCCTTTTAGTTTACTTCCGTACTTATTCGCAACCATTTAATTGATTTGGATTATGCATACACATGAAGCCAATCTATAAATGAAAGGATGTGCCGCAAATTAGCAGGCCAATAGTAGAATACTCCTCCTTAATTACAACCCTTTCTTTTCCCTTTCTTTGGTTCTCTTTGAAGTGTGCCGCCAATGATCATTTACCACGTTGTTGTTGGACGTACCCTGTTGTGAAGTGCATAATCCATAAAAGATTACCTTCTACGTTTAAGAATAACTTTTTAGGAAGCGGAGAAAATGTTAGCGCACATTTGTATCAGTATTATCAGTAGTTAATAAAATGGATAAATTTAACGGAATCAATTGATAAGCGAGCTGCTTAGGAGACGCAAGTGAGGCCAGATGTTATCTACTTCTGTAACTTTTAAGCTTATAAATTATACTTAATAGAGAATAACCTTTTTGGCCTACGGAGAAAAGTTTGAAGAGAGAGAGTGATGGTTGCATGATTTCTAATAATGGCAATCAGAAATAGAAGCTTTTTTTATAAATAATAAAAACATAGCGCCGCCATTCTTTCTCAAAGTTTCAATTGCGAAAGAGAAGCATACCGGACTATTCATTTCCACCATCTTTCTTGAAGAAGAAAGGAAAGAATCTATCGATCGGACTGGATTTGTCTATTGTTGGAATCTCAAAGTGAATCCTTCCTAATTCGGAAATGTCTAAAACAGTTGAATGCTCGATATACTTCATGAAAATTAGGCGACACAGTGATATCTATATCAAAATATCTATGTCCGATGTATTTCCTCAGAGCAAGAAAGGAATGGAAGAAAGGTACTTGATAACTCATCTTTGATATTTCTGGAAAGTGTTGAATAAGGGTGAGTGCAGCAGATCAACCAGTTTCTTCCTATCATTCAATTCGAAGGGAAACTTGCGGCATTTCCTGGCAATTTGTAATTACTAATAAATTGCTCAAAAATATATGTCTTTGCATATCAACGCTGAATTAAAAAAAGTTTTCGTTTTTTTTACTTGTCGAAAGAACTCCACAAATAGTAGGAAAGTTGTTAATTAGCTCTATTAATTAGTCATCACCCTTTGGCTACTTCAAAAACAATTTATTTATTACAGTTAAACCTTTCATTCCATCTAACCAATTTCATATTTGCTCGTCTACGAACGCTCATATGGCCTTAGACCGTTGTTAATAATTTCTGCATACCGATTCCGCCAGCTGTTAGGAAGTGAATTGGTGAGCCTAGTTCTTTTATTCGACAGCTGGAAGATCGATTGCTTGGACATTTTGTGATTCAGTTATGTGAAGAAGGAGAGAATGAGGATGAGAAGAGAGCCTAAAGTGTCATTCATATCCACTGTCAACTGCGCAGGGCCTCCAACTATTGATCTCATCGTAATGAACGCTGATTGTGTATACTTAGTACGATGTTACTCATGATTTCTCGGGAAAACTCCCGATAAAGTGGGTCAGAGATCCTTCCATATTTCCCCATAGTACTTTAGAGGAACAAGCCATCAACTTTTTTAATCTAATACCGCCTCTCACACTTTTACAAAACGATTTTTGGCAATTCCCTCATCGTTTCGTTCCTCTCTTCAATTACCTTAGCCAGCCTAACTACTCTTTCTTCCTTCTATCTCACTCATCTATCACATATTATTCGATTTTGCATTTTCCTATATCTTTTTCGTACCTTTACAATCATTGATAACAGTGGCTTTTCCATTTTTCAATATGTCTTTTACTAATAATAGTTTCAAAATCTCTTTTCTCTTCATTTTCTTTATATACATATTCATATACTCGCTCTTTTCTTTCTTACTCTTCTCCCTGATCCGCAGGGAGCTCAACATAAAACAGTTACGATGAACGGTAGCACATAGGCCTGTAACATGTTTGGGAAGTACATTAATGATGCCAGTAGCAATGGTCAGTTCTGTCGATGATATCTGCTGGTTGGTATTGTGTCTCGATGGGTACTTTGGGATTGATGGTTGTTGATGTGAATGAATTAAGCAGCAATAACACACAATGCTGAAGGCAGAAAGGACGAAGGATGTTATTCGGTGAAATTACATTGCGGGATGAGGGAAAAGGCGTAGTCGACCACTGTTCGTTAATTGGAAAATAAAATGCCGAGGTGGCAACGATTCGTGGAGCTTTGAATCGGAAAGTGAGGACACATTATGTTGTAGAGATGAAAAATGCCGACAGATCAACATATCTTTGAGTTACTATTATTACTGCGTTGCTGTCGCTGCTAATAATAATTTAGTTAAGCGGTAAAGCTAAAAGGGGAAGAGGGAGAGAGAGATGGAGGGAAACAGAAGAAGAAATGGGAAAAGGGAAGGGGAAAGGTGAAGAATGAATGTTGTTGAATTGTTGCTGATGATGTTCGGTAGAGGTTCAAGAGAGGGGAAGAGAGCTCTTTTGATGTCACCCGCCGCTGCACCTCTAATAATCCACAAAATGCTGCCTTAAACTTCAAAGACAATGCCGCAGCCACGTCGTCATCGCCATCAGTCCAATCGTACAACAATACTTCTATCCTCTCCTCCTCCTCCATTGCCTGTTTTCCAATTTCGTTCCTTCTCATCAATGTGTGTGTGTGTGTGTGTGTGTGTGTGTGTGTGTGTATGTGTGTTTGTGTGTGTGCATGTTTGTATTTGTCTGCAGTGTGTTTATATCTGGACGTAGTCACATATTTACCTATGTGTAATAAGAGCTCATCCTTACGACGGATGAATTCAGGTAAAAGAAGCCGTGCAACTTTGCGTAGCAGCAATTTGTTCAGCTTTTTATGGCTCTATTCAATTATCACCAGTTACATCCTGAGTAATTATATATTCAATTGCTAAGGTGGAACTTAGTCAAAGTGGAAATTGTCAGCCAAATGTCTGACAATTGTGAAATTCATTTCAGAAATTCTAACTGTGCGCAGTCCATTTTGGGATGTCCTCAGGTAACTGATGGTAATTATTGTTAGCCTGCTTATATATTTCAAACAGTTTTAATTGAACAACAAACGTCCCTTTGCGCCTTCAATCTGCTTGCCATTTTACTTATTCCTCAGGTTCTATTTGTCTTAGCTTGAATACAATGAAGCTAACACTAACACTAATTATTTCAAATATATTCCTCTAATTATTTCAAATATGCTCCTCCTTGTTCGTCCCATATATTTTTAAAATGAAGCGAATTGCCAGGTTGTTTGTACTGTATTTCTTCTTTCTCTAATTAGTAAATTCCATTTACTGGATGACTTGCTCATTATGTTTTCCTTGCAATAATTTAATTTGACGACAAGTTAGTGATTTTCTTTGCTTACCAAAGTTCCTTTAGCGATCTTTTTCTTGCTGGTTGAATTTCCGTTGTGGAACAATTTCATTTTTAGCAATAAGTTCCATTTATTCAGCAATTCCCCTTAACCGTTAAGAAAACCTTGTTTAAAAATGATTTGTAGTGCCACTTGCTCTGTTTCCTTCTGGGAAATCCCCGCGGGACACTCTGAATGACTAATTCCTCTTTAATGACTAATTTTCTTTCACTTCATTCTTCCATTAGCCTGGAATTTCTGGGAGGATAAGGATGCGCTGGATGGGTGGAGAAGAGGAAAGTTGGAATGGATGTGTTCAGACTTGACACTATTTAGGAGACACTTATACATTGCTACCTTCCTTTGTTATTTTTATTAATTTATTTTCATTTTTTAGAATAAACTTTCAAAAATGCGAAGTTTAATCGTCTCTCTGCTGTATGCCCCATACAGCCATCCATCTATCCGTTCGCCAAACCAACCAGCCTACAAATTATCATTCATCTATCCCTCCATTCATCTCTCCATCTATCTATCTATCCATCTATCCATTCATCTATCTATTCATTCATCTATCCATCCCCTCTATCCTCCGACCAACCGGTCGACCGAATCATTCATTTATATGGGCGCATTGTCGAAGAACTCGTTTCGGTGCTTCTCTTTAATGTTTCTCATCCCGCAGATAGCTCTGTGATCGCTCCCGCCAACGGCCATTTTTTTTATGAAGAATTACAAATAAAAGGCTTCACCGAGCAGCCACTAAGCGTTTTTTACTTTTGAATGTTCACAACAGGCTAGCTTCTGTTTTGGTATTTTTAGGTCACAGTTTTGAGTAAAGATTTCAAGCTTTCAGTATCTGACCCGGTTTCTTATTGCTACTCTGAGTTTTCTGAATGTATACACTCTCCTAAATATCTTTTTTTCTGATTGCCTCAAAATTTTCGCCTCCTATGCTGTTTTCAATTTCTGAATAAATTGTATTTAAAATTTCATGAATTCATAAATTTTTGATTTCTTTGAAATTTAATAAATAGCGACCTTTATCTAAAATGAACATTAAAAAATACATGCAAGCCATAGAATCTCGGCTTATTCTAATTGTGTAATTTGAAATGATTAGCTTACTACAACTATAACGAGTTGTGAATGATTGTTGCGATAATATTTGGAGATGTAGGAGTAGGCTCAGTGATCTGTCATCTTCATCAGCTAGTTATTTCTTAAACATTGATCTCGTGATCTACCATTCCTACGTAAACGAAACGAGAACAAGGGAGTTCTTTTACAGATTTTATGGATGGGTGTATAACTTGGTGGAGCAATTTGGAAAGCATTCTGGAAGATGCTTCTGCTTTAGAAGCCTTCAAAGAATGGTTTAAGGAGGATAGCACGAGACCAACTGATTCTATCGACTTGTACTTTGCTATCAAAGCTTTCAAGTATATAATGTTTTTAATATATACATTTATTTATTTATATATTTGTTGAATTTTAATAAATAGAGTTATGGATGATTAAATTGAAATTTGGAAGTTTCAGTCTGGTGAAAAATTGAAAATACCAATATGACAGGCCCGAAAAGAGTTTCTTATGTAAATTTCCCAAAATTTTCTATTCCTGAAGATGCTTTCATTCGTTGGTTCGGTAAATATATCGTCTGGTGACGATAGAACTGCATCCAGAACACAATAGTAACTGTTCCTGGAGAAAATGTCATCAGTCACACTGTTCTGTTGGCTAAATTGTCGGTGGTTTGAATTTTCTCACTTTTGCAACATTTATCTTTCTAAAATTTCATAGACATGGGAATTTTGAAATTTCAATTTAATTGTCCATTAAAGAAAAGAAACATTGATGTATCTATCACACATCGAATGACAGTGGTGTTTTCTAGTTTATTTGCATTTTATAAAGCATGCATTCAAAAAATGCGAATTCTACGGGCGGTTGTTGGTAAAGTTTTAAAAAAAGACGGCATGTTTTATAAAATTGTTTTCAACTTTGAAATATTGAAGAGAAGTTTTCGTCACGACGGAATCCCAATATTTAAATTTCAGCTTCGGGAAATTGTGGATAATTTTGTATCCTAATTTACGAGAAGAAAACGTTTCATTTGTTTTTGAGCAATGAAATAAATTTGCATAAATCATTCGGGCACTATAAAATTTGTACTAATTGTCTCAGCACATCGTAAGCAGTGTAACAATTTTACAGATAGATATAAAACCATTTTTTTCATTCTTTTTTGGGAAAATGATTTCGGGAAGTGATTTTTGTTCATTTTTTTATTTTGCAGGAATTTGATAGAACGTAATGATTCAAAATGCGCCGAAATAGCATGCAAAATACACCGCAAATATATAAGGTTTTTTTTCAGCAATATTTCAGTTGAAATTCATTTAGCACATAACCTCCCATTGGTACTTGGCTCGCTGTAACAGTTTTGCTTTTTTCGTGATTTATGAATTCTTTTATTTTGCTCTTCCATATCTTGCAATTAATATTTCACATATATTATATACTTATGTTTTATTACAGCATGCGCAGTGGCACCTGTACATTCCTTCCCGACACTATCAGAAGAGAAATGTCAGAGCGCATTCATGCCTTATCCGCGAATAAACTGCCACACAGCAATCTATTTGAACCTTGTCAAGAGGAATTGCTAACTTATTTGCGCAAGCAACACGCACTCTTTGTTAATTCTGATCATTTTTATAATGTAAGTAGTATTTTGAATCTTTCGAAACTGATAAAATGGAATACTACAATATCAAGAGTGGTAATAGTATCCATCATCTATCTCGTCATTATCAAAACTGAGTAATTATTAGATATTCAACGTGATGTCTTCAATAAGAGAACATAGAAGTAAACGTTATCAGGCATTTCATGCGACTGCATTTGGAAATATGGATAACAGAAGTTTCATCATTGTCTTTTGAGAAATGTTCCAAATGAATTCTGTTTCCTTCTTCGACATTGAAACTTGTAACTTACAGGAGAACAACTAATTAATTAATTAAGTAATTAGAAACCTGGAACTAGAGTATAGCATGTGGTGAATAATGCGTTCAGATTATTCAAAAATAAGACTGAGTCATTTTTAGCAATTAATTTTTATGGTAAAAATGATTTCTCCTTGTGACAATATAAAAATTAATTGAATTTAATCAAGTAGAATTTTTGTCGTTCCTTTTATATAATTAATTATAGAGAAGCAATAACTTTTGCAAGGATGCATTTCTTCAGTTATGCCCCTCAATCACTTTCTACGTAAACATCTCATCCTTCGGATCATTTAATTGATAGCTTTGAATGAATGCATGCTTTACTGGACGGAATTTCATGTGGGATTAATTTTGACGTTAACATTAGTATTAAAATGGAATATTGGTTTTGGATTTTTTTTAATTCTCAGCCGCTGAATCAAAATGCGGAATTTATTGAGCCAGTGGCAGTCTCCGCATCGGATGAAAACGACCCGACAATTTGTTCGACTGGATGTCATGCATGCGCTTCAACGAGTGATGACGTCTCGATTTGTTTCGGTGGTCGAAATTCACTTTGGAAGAAGTAAACAGACTGATTACTTTTAATTATTATGCTTACATGATAACATTTTTTTTATAATTCCAAGAACTGTATCAAATTTAAAATTCATATTTTGATGATTAATCTCAGTTTAGGTCTCCATAAAATATGATTATATGCAGTCTCTACCGTACAATATATATTCTTCGATATATATATATAAAACATATAATATTTTACAGAGACCTAAAAGATTTGTATAAATTGATCTTTATTAAATGAAGCTGTTCAGGTGGAAGCCACAGAGGCGAAATGTCGCCGTACAAAACGTAAGCAAACGTGATTCTATATCATGTAGCGCTGTTTCAAATGAAGATAGCGTAAATAAACGAAGTAGTTTGAAACGTCATTCGGAAAGGCTACCGCTACAAAGGGTTCATGGAGTAAGCAATTATCTTGTTATTCATAATTCAGAAGTAGTATTTCATTGCTTTCCAATGGCTTCGAAAAACTGTGAGGCTCATTATCTCATTATGGCTTTGAAACTCATTCTCATTCATTATATTAGCTCATTATGTTCTGGTTAATTACTTTTTCATTCATTTGCTCATTCATTTATCCATTTATATTTTTTTGTACTATGCTGACCAAAGTTAGCATAGAAGAAAAAAGAAGGTAATTCGATCAGTTGCAGTAGCTTCGTATTTTATCAAACTATTTTGTATTTTATTCTTCTCCTTTGCTAAGATAGCAGTCAAGATGGCTATATGTCACATATTTAAACTGTCATATAATGATAGCGGAAAAAGACAGATGTATACTTCAAACTGAATTTCCAAAATGCAACTTTCATCAGGAGGACTGTTGGATAGGACAAGAATGCTTTTACTCTTCTGAAAAATAAATCTTATACTAATCTCTTCTTGTCGCACAAAATATTTTTTTAAACAGCAATTTCAACATCTTTATCTGTATTTCAACTAGGTGGCTTTGTCGATTACCGAAATCCACATCATTTTTTCCTCTTGTACCGAAAATTTTGTCAATGAAATTGCTAAGGGGAACAGGACTAGTACTGGTAAGAAAAAATTCGTTTATTTTTAGCATCAACAACAACAACAAGCATTACTTACCTGTCCACCGGACGGTAGCGATTTTAAACATCAACGTCCAGAAGAAAGAGAACGATTTTCGGAAATTTTGCGTTGTAAACTGGATAAAATCGCTTGCCGTTTGGAGCGGTATAAACATGAAACCGGAGTTGAAGTATTTGCTAGGTTTGTTCAACTATCATAGATAATTTTTTTTCGTGATATCATTCCTACTTCTCCTTTGCTCATGCCGTGATATATGATCTGGCACCGCATAAAATTTAAAGGTACTATGTGTCAATGTCAAGTTTTCTATCAAGTAACTTTTAGTTGGCGTTACTATAAATGTGCTATAAGTGTGATATTTCTTAATTGCAGAGATTTGGAACAGCTGGCATTAACGGCGGAAGAGAATGATGAAGTTGATTCGGTGATAAGCAATGATTCGTTGGATAAGTATGAACAAAGAATGAATGCTGAATGTGATATGAATCCGAAGGAGGAAAAACGTAGATCAAGTCATTCTTTTTTCTTCAATTTCCTAAAAAATCTATGAAGTATTCCTATTTCAATTAAACAAAACCCTATGTCACAATTGTGCGATACTGCAGTACCATATCAAGTATTCGGTGAAACAGCAGGATAAATAAATCATCCTTTTTCTTCTTTCAGTGTCCGCGTCACCGATACGCTTCACGAACAGTCTTCACATCGGCAATACGCCGAGTCCATACGGACGACATGGTTTCGCCCCACCTCCTGGTGGTGTTACCTTGAAGAACTATCGTAATTGTGCTGCAAGTCGCGGAATGCATAGTTTGCGCAGCACAACGCCGCTATCCAGGTAAGTAAACTTTTCATCGGTAATAAGAATAAGAAGTGAACTTCATAAGAAGTAAACTTTTCATCGCATGTAGCACCAAAAGATTTCTATGATCAAAAGTTAAGTTTTTACTGTTGTTAAATCAAATTAATATTGTATATTCCAGCAATGATTACGGCGGACACCGATATTCGGATAGTTCTGGTTTCTGTAGTTCCGAATCGGCTAATATTATCAATCGAGCAGCCCTTTTTGAGAAAGCACGTCATATGGCAATGTCCACACAAGCTACCTCCTTCCCTCAATGTAAACTTGAATTATATTTGTGGTTATAAATTCCAGTTCTGGATGAAATTATTAGTATTAGCATTTTTCAACGAGAAATCGTGCAGATTAGTTGAACAGTTTGAATTCCTGAATATAAAGCAATTTTTGGAAATTTTGGAAAAGAATTAAAAAATTTGTATGTTTTATTTTTCAGCATGCAGCGAGGCGTCAACTAGCAGCTTCTACTATTGCTCATTTCCACTGGAACAAGAAGAAAAGCGGCCATTGTTTGTGTAAGTTGTTTGTCAGCCACGCGTCCTTTGATAAGGTGACAAAGCTTGAGAGACCTTCATATTAATAATAACTTCAGCAACAATTTTTATTCGAAGAGGCAACAGATAGCAATTTCTTACAAGGAAGAAAATGCAGAAGCTCCATTTGTGGCAAAGTTAGAAATGCGTGACATTACATTTCGTGAATTTCGTCGGTGCTTCGGTATTTCATCAAAGACAACCAGAAGGTAATATCCTATGAAGTAAACGGCTATAAGCGAATGGCATTCAATGAAAACACTTGAAGTGAAAATTAGACATCATGGGTGGAGTAGTGAATAAAATATTGAAAACTGAAGTAAAGACAAAATCTGAATTCATGATTGTATTTATTTATTTAGATGTTCGTAATAAATATATAACAGAGACACCAAACAAATATGCGGTAAAAGATATGAATTTGAGCAAAAGTAATTGAATACTATGAACCATGAATGGGACAATGGATTTTGAATGCCAACAATAAAATTCAAAATTCCCCATGGTCAAGTTCTTCTTACTGACTTTTCGTTCCCTAAAATTCTGTATGCCGTGATTAAATCGAAAGAAATAAATTAAATTTGAAAGAATAAAAAAGGAAAAAATTTATATTGCAGGTTTTTTTTCAAAAGTGATTGTGAAGATTGTTCTGCACCTTATCAATGGACCATAATTGATGATGATTGTGCCGTACTGCCGATATTCGAGGGTCGAATAACTGCAGAATGCCGAAGTTGTTCAGAATCTGATGAGTGACCGATTTCATACTATAAAAAAAAACCAACGAATGAGCTTAATCTCGATCATCCAACAGTTTCAGAAAAGGACACTGTTTTTTGACCATTACTAATTCCTTGTATACATACAGTTGTGCATGTTATTAGTTGTTGTTTCTTGTTCAAAATCTTTAAAAGATGATCTATCTACACGTCATTTATCAATTATTTTTTCGTTGGTATATGTAGACATGTAAATTCCATCATTTAAAATAAGCCAGTCTAGGCGATGGTGTACTAATATTTGTTCCATATATAAAGCGAAAGAGATGTTGTCTTGTTACGATTCTCACAGTGATCGGTGATGCGCAAATATCAATACTGTAACTTTAACGGTAGTAACTCACCTTGTTATATATTCACTTAGCCATATTATTTCCAATCAAGGCTGCATGAAAAGAAAGAAATCAATAATACTCGATAGCCTGAATCCTTGATCTCTTCGCTTGTTAATATGAATGGAATAGATGGAGTTTGTAGAATTTGGAGGATTTAACGAGAGAAAGGCGCTAGAGTGTGCTGCGTGCATACATATGCACATCCAGCATAAACATTTCTCCCTGTGGAAAACAACATCGAGAAGCCACGCTGTCAAAGTCGTATTCTCGCCGTAGGACGTAGAATTTTCATTCGGGAAAGCAATGTTCAGTTTGGTCTGTGCTCGATTAGCCAAAAAGCATCTCTGACAACAAGTGGGCACCGTTTTCTCAGTCATCTCCCTTGGGAAGAGTGTAGGAAGAGACTATGAGAGAGGCAAATCAGACGAATAAAGGAATAAATGGTGTAGGTTGAGGTATGGAATGTGGAACGGACGAAGAAACAAGGAACGAAGAGGGAGAGGAATAGAACTGGAGCTATGCAGTCGTAACAATTTAATAGCCACGGGGAGGATAAGAGAAGATTCAGAAGACAAGATAGCTGAAGGGATGAGATGACTTACGTCGTAAGTTGACGGAATTTCAGCTTTCTCCACGCAGATCCAAACTTCGAAAGATAAGGGTTCATTGGACTACTCCACCACAACAGATCACACCCCATGACAAGTCGATACAATTTTCGCAGTCTCATAACGGTTCAGCGATAACATCGTTGCTTAATAGGGAGAAAGAGAGAAAGAGTAAGAAAGAGAGAGGGAGGGGTAAAGATGAATACCATTACTAGCGTAGTATTTCTACAATTTTTTGTCGCCTAAGTGTTGCACACTATTTTCATTTTCTTTCATACGATCAGACCAAATTTAAGCTAGGTCTAATTGCCGGAAGTGCAGTCGGTAGAAGGAGATTGTGGTGGTCGGAAGTTCTCTCTGATGAGCCAGGAATTCTCGGCAAAGGGACAAAACCATGATGGGTGAATTAGGAATTAGTGAAGAATGATGGAAAATTGAAAACTCAGTAAAAATTCGTTTTATATAATTTCTAGAGGAAATTGGTCTTAAATTAATCTCTGTAAAACAATTTTCAATTTTTTTAAAACGAATTCAAATATCTACTTTCTCTTCGATTTTAAATTAATTTAGTAGCGATTTCCAGTGAGTAATTCACAATAGCGAAAATTCACAGCGTAGTAAATTGATAAGTGGAATTAGTATATTGACAGCTAGACACTTCGTTCCAAAAATATTTTTGCATTTTTTTCCTGTGAGTTATATACTCAAATTTGGTGAACTCCGGAAGTAATACATTAAAAACTGCAGAGGATTAAAAGGAAGAAATTTTCTCTTTAGTTTTGTTTTGTTTCCCACTAGATTTAAAATTAACTTTAGGAGAAAGTAATTCTAGTTTTTTGTACCCTTCAACTACATCAAGCTGACCATTTTCGATTCGATTTTAAATTCTTCTGGGATTTTTTCAATTTCTTTCCATTATCTGCGAAAATTTGAATCAATTTTCTATTTGATTCCTAGTCATTTCCAGAAGCAGTTCGGTTAATTAAGATAAATTTGATTTCTGGAGACCTTCAATAGAACTAAGGCGATAGAAGCGCTTGTAACTAATAGTTTAAAAATCTAAAAAAATAGTGAGTGAAAGGCTTAGTTATGTTAGTGAAAGGGTCATCATGTGATATCCAGTGTATCATATAGTTGAATTTCTAAATCTTTTTTCCTGCCTTCGATCAACAAATGAATAAATCAACTAAGAGTACTCTTTGATCATTGCTACCAAAAAGCAAACAGAATTTATGGCTCTTCTGTCATTCCTCTTCTCCCTCTTTCTCTTTCGTAGAAAGGGAGGGAAGAAAAAACTCTTTGGAAAAATATGATTTCTCTCTCTCTCTCTCTTTAGGGAATATGTTAATAATTCCATAAAGCAAATCTTTCAAAAATGCATCGAAACAGATCGGAGATGAAGAGTTGTTCCTAACATGAGTCGATTCACTTCCCTTAATGCATCTGTTTTTTTCACTTCATTGTGACATTTCAGGACAGTGAGTGGGTCAAAATTCAGCTACTGTCATACGGATAAGATTAAATATGGGTGGGATATCTTATCTTTCAGCGTCATTGCATTCGAGAAAGATTTAAGATTCGAAAGATTCGATCAGAAAGATTCGATCATGATTTACCTTATAATTAAAAAAATCATGTGGGCGAGACAGTTTTATTTATATTAAAGGAATATCCAGAAATGTGATCTAAAAACCTCATCCTTGTTCGCTTTTCATCTCATTTTATGCTGATCATCGATTACAGGTAGATCAAGTCACAGATATGCTAAAGTTGACGTAGAACTACGCTATTTTAAAGAATGCGTCTCACTATAAAGAATTCCAAAAATTCACGAAAAGTTTGCCTTGTTTTTTAGCACCAGTCATGAGTGCTATAAGCGGTTTCTCTGTCTTTCCGAATGAATTCGATAATTTGGTCAATTCCATCGATTTAGTCAGCGCGACACTCACTGATAATTTGGATCAACTAAGTAAGGTTAGCTGTGGTTGCTCTATTTATATTTAATCGCTTCGAAGTTTTTTAATAATTAACATTTTTGATAAAATGTTGTATCAAGTAACTAGTACTCCTGTTCGTACTGTTTCATTTTCTGTTCCAGCTTTTTTCCTATTTTGAATTTAACTTTTTGGCATGGTTCCCGACACAGATATGAAATACAGGTGAGTCGTTTTTACAGAGTATAGTAGTAAATATATGGGATTTTCTTGTAGAGAATGTAAACCTGCTGGATTTGAAAGAAGAGCAACTCTTTTTTCGAGTCCAACATTCAAACATGTTCAGCATGTTAATTGTGGACTATAGAGCTCTTGGTAGATTTCCAGTCAGGATATTTTCAAATAAATTTGGTAATGTGGTATATAGTATACAGTTCTCCGCAAGCTCTCCGAAAATCCAACCATTTCTGGGAAACATAGAAGTCTTCGGTTTTTCCTTTTTCCTTTTTTACGTGNGATTTCCAGTCAGGATATTTTCAAATAAATTTGGTAATGTGGTATATAGTATACAGTTCTCCGCAAGCTCTCCGAAAATCCAACCATTTCTGGGAAACATAGAAGTCTTCGGTTTTTCCTTTTTCCTTTTTTACGTGAATTTATGTTCAATATTTTATATGTTATGCTTAGTATTTAAATGTTTAGTACTGCATTCCTATCTTTCGAAGTTAAATTACTGTTATTTAAAGAATCAAAATTTATATTCCAAACATTTTGATAATGTTGCGTTTTCAAACACTTGGGTGTGTTTGTGTGTGTGTGTGTCAGATTTTAAATAACAAGGGTGGTCATTTCCATTTTTGATTTTTAAATTATTTTTCAAAATTAAACAGTACAATGTCAAAATTTTTGGTATAAACATTTTTTCATATTTATATCAGTGTTATTCGACATTTTTTACTGTTCAAACCTTTGCTAGTCCCCGAATCATTTAGTAACTGTTCGAAACTTAACGAACACAGCGAACTTGGCGACGCAGCTGTGGGTCGCAGCGTGCACATACCGGAAATGACTGACATCACATATTTTTAACATTTGTTTCATTTTGTGCACTGATTAAGCTATCCAAGGAATCATGATATCAGTTTTACGGTGCTAATATTTATTGTCTTTACTTTTTTTTGATTTATATATTTTGCATAAGTCGTTTGGTTCTCAATTCATTTATTATGATTACTAATAGGCATTATTTCGTAACTTTTAGCTTGAACTAAATTATACTGTGTTACGAGTAAATAAGGGTGGAATAGTTCAATTTCTCTGCTTGCTTTCTTTTACTTAGCTTCTTATTTTAATGAAGAAATTACAGATTCGTCAAATATTGTCTACATACGACAGTAGAAATCCGGAAGATTACACGATAATTCTCCGAGAACATACAAAGTCTTTTATCCAACAAATGGATGCAATTGTAGAGACACTGAGAAGCTCACGTAACGACGTAGCAAGTAGCCATTTTAGCGACAACTGCAGGTGGTTTGTAGTTTTGATTAGAATGAAAATTTTGACAAAGTATTTTTTGATCTACTGTCTGATCCACATCATAACACAGATATGATATCAGTTGAACATATAACCAATACAGTATGATATCAGTTGGCCACATGTATCGGATATATAAAAAAGATATGAAATATGAAGAATCAAAAAAGTGGACATTTGATTTGATTATTTACTATGAAAAATGGGTAGATAACCATGCATCATATGTGATTATATTTCCGCACGGTAATACGTTGTAAAGTGGAAATATTTTGCTAAATTCGGTACTTATATTTTGTAATTTTTCGAACATTTTTGTAGCTAATATATCTCACGTTACTCCCCATTTCGTTATGTTATTCAAATGTTCACAAATAGCACACTTGCATCGTATCCTGCAGTTTTCATAAGCTTAAAGTAATCTTAGCCTGTTACCGTGACATATAACAAAGAGAAAAACACTGTTTTATCACGAAAACAGGACAGAATCAGCTACAAATAGCTGGAACGACGCGGTATTGAATTCCGATAAAGAAAGATTTGGCAGTAGCAACGAGGTTGGCAAGTCAAGTGACAAAAGTGGTGGAAAAACGGGTGATCAGTTGCATAGTGGTATCAGTAAAAGAAATGAAAGAGACACTGAAGGTCTCGAAATTACGAAAAGAAATGTTGGACAAGGCAGAGATAAATCAGGTGATTTAGAAACGCTTGACGACGATGAAATAATGGAATTGGTAAGAAATCCGAAAATTTCCCACTTGCAACTTATTTTGCTTTGCTTCAACTTTTTTTGCGAGCTTTTTTTGTTCTTATAAGAAAAACTTTAATGTAACAGATTTGTACATTTTTTGACATTTTTTGAAATTTTAGTATCAAAAATTCGATCATTTTTAGATTGAACAACTTAAATGGTTTGATAGAAATAATCAATTATTTAAATCACTGTAGCATTCGTAATGTAAGAGCCGAATAAAAGTAATGTGCTACTGCTGATTATTTTAATTGTAAAAAAGAGGAAGCAAAGCAAGCAAATTTATTTCTGTGCTTGTAAATTAATGCCCTCCGAAAACATGAAGTCGTTCTATAACGAGATGTATTTCCGAAATCTGAAGGTAACTAATGAAGACATAGCAGTAAATGTAATTTTGGAACCATTTATGACAGATCGACTGACTCAAACCAAGGCCATTAACCCTTTTACATATATTCCTACATTTATAGATAAAACATTATCAGACCTCTTTCACAGATGCTCAAATTGTTATTATAGTTTAATATTTCTTTCGACTGGTTCCTCTTCTCTTCTGTCGGTAATACCCTTCAACTTTTGGCACAGTTTTCCCGTTTCGTCAACTTGACTGATAAATTTTGTCACCGATTTGGTAACCGATCTGTAAAATCTAGGAAAAGTAGTACATTTTTTCCTATTTGTATTATATTTTAGTCAAGATTCTTGAGCACAATGATAATATATATTCGTCTTTATCAAGTTTCTTCAAATTACTAAATCTTAAACAGAAATATGCTCAAGAGCTCATATAAATTAAAGGGTCCTTATTGCTACTGTCAGGCTTTAAGGATCAATCATCAAAGACTTTGAACTGAGGAGTTCGAAAGCTGTACTGAGCTGTCTAAATTTTTTAGGCTCATGAATGAAAAGCTGCATCCTATTTAATAGCTATGAAGACATTTGTTTTCGAACATCTGCACTGTACAATATGATTGAACATTTAATGATCTGACAGTTGCGTTATTGTTGGTTTAATCCAGTTGAGGACTATGATTACTAAGTTTTCTGTTAATAATACTTAGCTTATGATAAATTCGAATTTCATAGTAATTTAGAATACGATTCCATTATTTGGTCCTGAAATATTAATTGAAATTAGTTAAGCTGTCTCTAAAAAGTTTCAGTTGAATGGTAATGTGCAATATCATTGCAGGATACTGATATCACTGATGTTGTTGGTCGGTATGATTTATCGAAATCTACTTCTGTTCAGGAAAACTCAGGACGAGAAATATGCGATGAAGGTTGATTTCGTTTTGTTTTAGTCTGTAATGAAGGTTGATTTTTCTTACTTTGGTTGATAAAAATTCATTCGAAAGTTTATCTAACATGAATTATTGAAAAAATATTCATTTATTGTTGTCGGATTTCAATCTGAATTTTAATAAATTATTTTTTTATTTCTAGGTGAGAAAGAGGATATGGAGGAAGAGCTCGTAGATTTTATCGGTGCCGAAGATTTCACCGAAGAAGATTTGAAAGTAAGTTATAATAATGTAAATGAACTAGATCTGAAAACTGGTTTAGAGTAAGCTGCAATTAAAAAGTAAAGCTTCTTTATGTCGATAGTGGAAAGTTACATGGGTTAATTGGTAACTGTATGAATGACCTTATAACTTAACTTTCTAGGTATCGTGAACATGTTATTGTGCAGATGGTAGATCCGAATTGCAGAAAATTAGTTTAAGAAGGTTAAAATTACACACTGTACTTGATTTCTTATCGCATTTATATAACTTTTAAACAGTGCAATGAAAGTAGTAACTATGCTAGTGATAAAAAGTGAAATAAAAATTGAATGATTACATATGGATTGGAATGCGAGATCCTTTAATTGGAAATAAACAAAAATTCGTAGATAGATAAGGCGATTTGTTATAGGTTTTAAAACGATATAGTGTTTATCCATCATATATTGAAGTGATGCAATGTGATAGGGATCCGGAGTTGAAGACAGTGATGGATTCTTTGCAGAAGGTATATTTGAACTTACATTTTAATCGAAGTTATATTAAACACTCTAGATTACTGAGAAGAATGAAGGATGAAAAGGATATGAATTTAGAAGTTCGGTGCATGGAAAAGTATTGACTTTATTGAAGAATGATCCTCAATATATTTCAACCATCATCTCTGTATTTTAGACTGCTTACGAAGAAGAAGATGAAGTGGTTAATTCTGATGAATCAAATTCTGAAGTCGATTTTTTATTGAGGACCGGTACCATATTACTCAAAAATAAAGGACAGAAAATAAAGAAAAAATCATGCCCACATAATAGTTTCATAAAAAGTGTAATGGATGGGAACGCACAGGAATATGACTATATTGAGACCGATCATAGTGAGGTAAGTTTGATTTCTCTCGGAAAAATAAAGTACTCAGAATTTGTACAGAGGATCTTTATTGTCATATCTTGTGCCATATCATCACCAGATACATTTGTTACTCCACTACATTTTACTTGCTTTTCTCCAACTGGTAACAACCCTATACAAAAAGGCGATATTATGTTCATTCAAATTTTATTTTCTTATGAAGTATCTTCTTTCTGGACGCCTGAGTATGGATGAAAAGCCGCAAATATTTGGTGTAAACATTTGCTAATACAAAAATGGAATATTCAGTAGTACAGTTATCTAAAAATAGGTTATATAATGTTAGTATTGTCATCGCAGATTATAAATTTTTACATCACCCATTAACTTTTTGATCAGTTTAAATGTATAGGGGTACTTGCTTAATATTACTGATTCATTTATTTTTAAGGATGATGTGAAAGAGGAAGAAGAATCTAAGGAAGGCAAGGAAATGACACCTTGTCTCGGGTCAGAAATTAAACACAAAAAACTTTATGATCGCGGTATAAGCACGGATGAACCGAAGCAAAATTCAGCGACAACGAAAAATAAGTAATTGAATTTTATTACTAACCAGAAGATTTTAAAAATTCAAGCATTTTTTAAAATTTTTAGTAAATTCAATGAAGCACATAAATTTTTGTGTTTCAGGCAAAGATGTAATTCGGATGCTGCTACTTATGGTAGGCATGAAACTTTAAGAGATGATAACATATCGAAAATGGTTTGTTATTATCTTATTTATGATTCTTTAATAACGTGCGTATTAACCAGTACAACTGGCTGTTGCCTTTGTGAGAAGACGACTATTTATCTAACGTCTATGAAAACAGAGAAGGTACTACTTCACAAAGGAATAGGAATATCGGTTGTAATTTATTTCCATCTCTCAGAAAAAAGTTGAAGTTATAGGAATGTCTTGAAATTTGGCTGCAAGTATTTGAACCATATTAAGATATTTTGGAAGTTATTACCTGTTGCTTGTAAATCTTATGGTGGAACTTATACCGTACTGCAGTGCAATTACAAAAAAAGAATTATGCTGGAACTAATGCTAATTTTTCTTGGTGGAGTTGACCTTTTTGCTCACTGTACTACTCTCACCTTCGCTAGTATTTTGCAAAGCAATTATAAAAGTTTTACGCCTAGATAGTACACGATCTTTTGAACTACCGCGGTATGCGATCTGCCCCGAACCACGTAATTATGTTACTGTTTTGGGATTGCTGTAGTAGTCTATAGTATCTGGAATTAATCGACCGAGTATTGTGTATATAGATTTGGAAGCTCTAATTCATGTGTGTAGTGATATTTCATCGTTAATAACCAGTGATATGACATTCTGATTGTATTTTCTTAAAACTGTAGAGGTGATGAAGCATGGTTTTTCAATGTTTTCCTTTTAAAATTAACTTTTCTTAGAGTGATAACCTCAAAAAAGATCGTCTTCTAAGCAAGCGTTTGGTGCTAAGCGATAGCGAGGTGGAATCAATCGATGATGAAAAGAAAGGAAAAGAAGCGGAAGGAAGTATCAAAGATTTCGAAGAGGATAGAAGAAAAGGAAATAGGAAGTAAGGATTATTCGTAAAGTAGCATTTCCTTCATCAGGTGTTATTTATGGTGGAACAAAATGGATGAATTTTTAAGTAATTCAATGCACTCTTGCAAATTTTAAGACGATAACGATTGTAACTCCATGATTTATTCCCAGAATTTCAAAATGTTGGTTGAAATCTAATGCTCTTAATCATCTTGTTTCATAGGCGAAAACAAATACATTCTTCGGATTCCGAAGCTTCCTTTAATACTTCGGAGTCAGATACCGGTGATAGCATGATTTCTGAAATAATTGATGCTGACGATGATATTGAGCTCTCCAATTCAAGTGATGGGGATGGCAGTAAAACATCGCGTAAAGGCAAAAACGCACGTGTAAAGTTTGTTTATTTACTTATTCTTTCTTTTGCTCTTTTTTATTACATATGTTTTAAGGGCATTGTTGAGGAAATTTACGAAAGAGTCCAAATTTTTGTATCTCATACTAGAATTTTATCTTTAGAATTCAATTTACACATACGGTAGAAATATTTCCAGATTGAAGCGAAAACGTGTTCGCATTGATGATGATGGTGAAGACGAGGAGGAAAGGGATGATGACAACGTATCAGAAGATCCGGAAAATGATGAGATGAGTAAAAAATCGTCAAACAAGAGAGGCACTCGGAAAATTTTGGCTAAGGAACAGTTGCAGAAGGATACAATCGACGCCGAATTGGCAGAAAAAGAACGAAGGAAGCGTTTGGAAGCAAAACAGAAAGAGGTAAGATGTTTTTTGCATGTTGACTCTTCTGCTTGTATCAGCAGAAGAGAATCAACATGCAAATCCTGTAAATGTGTATCTTTTTGATATTGATATGAAATTTAAAATATAAATAAAATCCCAAATTCTGCGATGAATTTGAAATTTTATTCACAAGTTTAATTATTTATCAACATTAACAAAGTACATAATTTTATATTAGACACAACTGAAATCGGCTGCCTTTAAAATACAAAGCGTCTAAATCATCTCTAAGGCTTTATTTGCAATTCTTTTTTGGGTCATTTTGTTATTTAAAAAGGCTCTTTCATCATCTCTTAGTTTGTATCCGATATCTGAATCTAGCGCTTTTATCTTTAAGTCATTTACTTATCTCAGAATCTATGAACAAAAAAATTTCAAAAATTTCATTAAAAAAAATTTTGTCATAGCTGGAGAACTTTATTATATTGCGTGTTCATTTATGTCTCCTTTTTTATTTTATCTAACAAGAAATAATATGCATTAAACATTTGGTACTGGGAAGCCTTTAAGTGGAAATGTTGATTAGCAGTTATTGATTACTTACTTTTGTATTTGATCGTCTAATGTTTGGAGTATCAATAATTTAGTTCAATGGAATCGAATTGGCCGATGGACCAGATTTAGCGACTGCACTAAGTTCTTCGTCACAGATCACAAAACATCAACGTTTGAAAAGTGTTGTCCTCGATCCTGATAAAAAAGGCAGTCCAGCATGTCCAGTATCCGTACATCCATCGTTGGTCGCTTTCCTGAAACCCCATCAAGCTAAGGGTATTCAGTTTTTGTATGATAGCTCCATCGAGTCGCTGCAACGATTGGAGCAAGATGGTGGTGGTGGTATCCTTGCTCATTGCATGGGCTTGGGTAAAACATTACAGGTTATTATCACTTTTGTAGTAAATTTACGATATGTAATAATGATCTCAACATTAACATAAAGGCAAGTTTTAGAAAACTTTTAGGGCGATCGATATTTTATTTTCGAGGTGTTTTAATTTCAGAATTGTTTTTCAAGAGTGCGTAAAATACTTTTCGAGAGTGCATAAAATGTAAAATTTTATTTTGCTGCAGTTCAAGTTCCAAGGTTTCTCTTCCACTAAGATCACACTATAACTATGAAATTACTCTGTATAGCTTCCGTACGCTGATAACGCGAGCGACATAGTTCAAGCATGGTCTCGAACCTTTCGAAAAAATTTTATGACATTATCAGTTAATCATTCAAGCGGACTTATTCGTTTGCTAAAATGGTGATAACCATTTTATGTGAGATATGCGATCTCATTTCGAATTTTCTTCTTAGATAATATTTTTACTTGGGTGGATAACCTATTAAGTAACATTTTAGGTGATCGCTTTCTTGCACACTGTAATGATGCATCCAAAATTGCGTGATCACCTCAAACGTATCTTAATTATTGTGCCAAAAAACGTCGTATTAAACTGGTACAATGAATTCGAGAAATGGCTTGATAATGAAAATATCGATAGAGATCTGGCCACGATTAATGTTATTATCAGTTTTTTTGAACCAACTTTCAGACTTTGAGTAAAGGAAAAATTTAATAATTTTTATTTGGAAAAAAATGTGATAATTTATAATTTTGCTTATCAGATCTTTCAGACGGCGGTTACTGCTGAGATTACAAAAGTTATTGAGGTATATAAAGCAAGTATAAGGCGAAAAAGCCAATTAACGATGGTGAAAAGAGAAAATAAAGTGAAAAGATAGCAGGATTATCACCTTTGTCTACTTATTAGTCATTCTTAGTGTGATTTTTGGGCTTTCAACATTTTGCTTACATTTTAATTGCAAGAATAAAACTGTACTTAGTAAGAACAAAATGCATAAGGTATGAAAAAAAAGAAATCGTATATCTTAGTCACTGTTTAAATTTTAAAAATTAAATATAAACGCTTTAAAAATTTAGCATAAAGAATCTTACAACAAGACTGGATGCCATTTTGTTCAAATAAAACCTCTTTATTTCAGGTTATGGAAATGGATTCCTTGAAGGATTATACTAGCAGACGGGTAGCCTTACAAAACTGGTTTGAAAATGACACACCATCAGTGATGATTATTGGTTATGATATGTTCAGGATACTAACACAAGGCGATGGCGATAAGATAAGTATATCAGTCAATATGGATTTTATAAAACAGAGATAAAACAATATGGATTTTATAAATCAATATGGATTTTTTTATAAATCATGGTGTATGTTAAATCTAGTGAGCGGAATAAATTTTCAGGGCAAGAAAAAAGTTGATGCGATGAAAAAGACAACAAAGAATAAAAGGCTGACCAAATTGCAACCAGATTTCCGAAGGTTCCTTCAAGATCCTGGTTAGAGTTAATTTTCTACTGAAGGTTCAGAATTAAAACTGTTGTCTTTCAAAATAATTTTTTGAATAATAGGATGTTACCTTGGAGCAGCATAATCGCGAGTATATGAGTAATTTGTTACTGATTCATAAACATACATCATTTAAGTCGTTTTTGAAATTTGAAAATTCAGGTCCAGATTTAATTATTTGTGACGAAGCTCATAAATTGAAAAATGATGATTCGGCTCTTGCAAAGACTATGTTAAAAATTCGGACAAAACGACGATTATGCTTGACCGGAACACCACTTCAGAATAATCTAATGGAATGTAAGTTTGTCGGAATAGTCAATATGTTTTCGAGTTTTATTTAAATTGAATTTTTAAATGAACTTTTTGCAATAATTCGTAAAACGCATCCTGAAATTTCTTCACTTTCGCGATAAAATTATACTTGTCGGCAAAAAAAGTGATATGATGAAATCAAATGAAGTTATAAGTTTGAAAACAAATAGTTTTTAATGTCAAATGATGTGTTAGTAGTTAAATGAAACTTCATTTTGCATGTCATCATATGCATAAATTACGATTAATTTTTATATCATATAACGGACAAAAATTAGCCTAAATCATTCAATTGTAATATAGAAAACTTGGCTTACCAATGCATTTTGATGAAGAGATTGAATTATATTTACAGATCATTGCATGGTAAATTTTGTGAAACCAGGATTATTGGGTACCAAAGCAGAATTTGCAAATCGTTTCGCAAATATCATCAATCGTGGAAGAACTAAAGACGCGACACCAGCAGAAGTTCGTCGTATGAAGAAACGTTGCCACGTCCTATATGAACATCTAAAAAATGTTGTTGATGTAAGTTTACTCAAATGTTATATTTTTATTATGGTTTTATGATGAAAGCATGATTGCGTTTCAGGTACTGCTACTTCCACATATTGACGTCACGGTTTGTAAGATTGGACTGGTTGTCGGGGTCTGAAGCATGGCTAGACTATATAAGGTATTACCACAATTGATGATTTTTCAATGCAAGTGATACTCGTTGAAGAAAAATCATTTCTTGACAAAAAAGTGACAAAGTTATTGGATACTTTTGTATTTTTAGCGTAAGGATTATCGAGTATTGACGGAAGCTATCCCACCAAAACAAGAGTATGTGGTGAATGTTCGTTTGACGCCTCGTCAAGTGTCGTTGTATCGTACATTTCTTGATGGTATTGGTCCAGAAGGTATCCTGTTAAGCAGACGACTTCTTCCCGACTATCACGTGCTGTCACGTATTTGGACTCATCCCTATCAGCTTGTTGCTCATCAAATTGAACTTGAGAAAAAAGTATTTTCTTTAATTCTTTAATTTTTATATAAATTTTGAAAATTAGTGCTTTAACTGTAAAGCTTTCAGTGCATGCTTCTATCATTTTTTCCTAACAGTTATCTACAAAAATTATTATTTATAGCGTCTCTGGGAGGACAATAGGGATGAAATGGCGGATTTCATAAATGACGATGAAAGCGAGACATCATCATCAGATGTTGATTCGGACGATGACATTATTCCTTTGTAAGTTTCAACTATAAAGTGGATAAGAGAATAAGGAAGATAATTTCTTTTCAAGATCAAAGACCTACTTCTTGCTTTTTTTGAACATCTTTCGTTAAAGAGATTTCTGGGACAAACTAGAATTTTGTTTTTGGAATGGATGGCAGAAACAGAAAAGCCTATTCCATGCTTTTAAAAAGCAAATATTTCTTCAAGTCTTATTTTTCAACTCTCTATCAATATAATTATGATGAAATACTTTCTCAGAGACAGCAATGATCAACCTGAAACAAGCAATAAACCAGCGGTACCAGCACGAAAGTCACGCCGACTGGCGGGCCAAGATGTAGAGGATGGGAAAGAAATTATGCCGGAATACGAAGGGTGGTTCACTAAAACTGGTCTGGTCACGGAAACGGATAGAAACGATTTTTCATTAAGTAATAAGCTAATGCTGTTGGTTGAAATCATCAAAAAAAGTGAAGAAATTGGGGACAAATTGTAAGTTTTTTCATTTTATCTCAAATATTACGGCTTTTAAGTGCAATTCTGGTAATATCAATTCCACCGAGCGCAGTTGTTTCGCCCTGTTGTATTACGTATTGTTATTCATTAAAGTTTTTGCTGCTCTACAACTATTTTGTCTGTTCTGCTGCAGAAAAATATTTTCGACTGACTTTGATTTTCATTTCATCTCATTTTATGTTTAGGTTGGTATTCTCGCAAAGTATTGAATCAATTTCGCTAATTAAAAGGATGTTGCAATATATGGATGAGAATAGTATATGGTTTACGGATGGCCATGAAGCAATGAAAGCAGCAAACGAAACTTGGGGTTGGAAAGAGGGCCGTGATTACATGGTTATTTTTTTGAGAAACTGTAACTGGTTAACATTGAATATAGTTTTATTGTTAGTAATATTTAGTTATGGTTGAATGCAACTCATTCACCTTTAACTAGGGAATACTTGTTTTATTGCACTTAAGTGTGAAGAAAAAGGCTATCGATTCTAGCAATCAATACACTATTCCGTTTAATCTGGCAAGTGGTCATGTTGCTGTTGATTGGAATAGCAGTATACTTTTGTCCTGCTTTACATTTTTACATATGTATTTTGTGTGATAATAACTTATCTTTTTACCGTTTTATAAGCATTTTTTGTCATTATATTGCAGTAAGTTTTCAGAGAGATTTTCTATAAGTTTCATGTAAATTGAGTTTTCCATTCCATTTTTTAGGTACGAATAATCCCTAAATATTTAGGTGATCGATGGGCAAGTGCAAACCAGCAAACGGCATGAAATACAGACAAAATTTAATGATCCAAACAATTTACGGTATATTGAATCGGTTTTTAACACATAGAAGTGAAAGATCTTTTACGTTAATGAGATGTGAATTAGCATGAAAATGTTAATTGAAACTAATTTAAATCGTAGTATTCAACTTTTTTAGTGCCCGTTTGATGCTTATTTCTACACGTGCTGGTTCGCTAGGGACCAATATGGTTGCTGCAAATCGAGTTGTTATTTTTGACGCTTGCTGGAATCCATCACATGATACGCAGTCTTTATTTCGTGTTTATAGATTCGGACAAACGAAACCCGTATACATTTATCGCTTCATTGCTCAGGTAGCTATTACTTTTAAGTTCTTTTAATGAGGTAATTTTTGTTGTTGGATTTTTAAATTTAGCTCACTCCTCCAAATGTCTGGTAATTGAAACACTTCCTCTAGTAATGCTCATTAGATATAGTGTAATCTTATAGCCCCTACACACATGAATGTCTCTATATCCGTTTCCGAGAATTTCGAATTGAGTTTCATTATTTAATAAAATAGTGATATTTTTTCAGGGAACAATGGAAGAACGAATTTATAAACGTCAAGTTACGAAGGAGTCAACATCGATGCGTGTTGTGGATGAAGCCCAAATTGAACGACATTTTGCTGGTCATGACTTACTGGAGTTGTATAAGTTTGATCCGGATGAATTGAGCGATGCACAAAATGTACCAAAAAGACCGTTGATGGCACCGCCAAAAGTAAGGTTTTCCAAGACAAAATGAATTCTCAGGATTTGAACCGAAGAATATTTTCTTCGTTTGTTTTAATGAGAAATTTGGTAGAAAATTAATTTTTGTAAATGTTGA